AAAAATGAGCCAGATCTACCAACCAGTTCGCTTCTTGAAAGGTCTCAGTCTCAACCTATAGAACCAATCACTTTACAAGATGGGAATACATATCCTAGTGACGAAGGTGGCTCATGGGATACAGCTGAGAGAACAGATAAAGATAGCAGATACAGGGTATTTGGAAGGTTTAATTCAAGATCACTGGTGAGATCACCTCCGAGAAATCACAACGAAAACTGTATGTTTACACGCCTTTCCAGTCTTCCTTTGTTTTAGAGCAAATATGAATGGCATTTCATATTGCTAAGCTATCGTGGCATCTTAAATCTGGAGAACACTTTTCTGAGTTTCTGAAGGACTTGGGTTTATATTTATGAGATCCTAGGAATCAGTCTTTAGTTGTACATGTTGTTTTTTAGTACAATTTGTTTCAGTAAAACAACTTAGTGTTTAGTTGGTCCTTCTATATTATAGATAGCTGTGTCTGAGTTTTCTGGATGCTGTTCTCAGTTCTGAGCTAACTAACTCTTTATTTCAGCTGACTTGATTAGGTATAATGCAAATAGAGATTCAAGTCCTACTGAAAGTCGAAAAGGAGGTAACTCTTTCCCAACATTTGTTTTTTTGTTTTTCCCTTTTAATGCGCGTATGAAAAGATTATAATCATCTGCCTTGACATACTAGGAAGACTGCATTCCGTCGTTCTAAATAGGGAAAGAAGAGGAAGATTTTCAAACTTTGAGGGTCCTGTTTCGAGTTCCTCTGGTGGAAATATGACTGCACCAAACAGTCGCCCTTCCAATGTGGTAATGGCCTTGAATTTTTTTTATTTTTTTTTTGATTTGGGATCTCGAGGCTACACAACAGGGACTGTAGAAACGAAGAATGAGGAAGGACTGCATCTTCAGCGTGTAGCAGACATAAAATTTCCCAATTACTAGTGTTCAACATCTCATATAGTCCTGACAGAGATAATGATGACAATATATCCTTTCATGCAGGTCAAGCAGAGAGGAAATTATGTGCCAGTTGATCAAGGAATCACTTCTGCTAGCGAAGAAGATATTGTTGCAGACATAATGGGGCAACACGATCAATTTGTCAGCTCCATGCAGTCTCGTTTGGCTAAGTTACAGGTAACACCATGAAAGTACAGAGTATGATAATGCTTTTGGTCTGTTTCCTAATTAGAATGCTAGCTGTAATACTTCATAGATCTCCATAAACATTGTATATCTTCTAAAGAGTTTCACCGACTTTGCAGGTTGTCCGTAGATATTGGGAAAGAAATGATATTAAAAACTCGATAAGTTCAATAGAGAAGATGGCTGATAATGCTGTAAGATACTTCTGTTTGGATCCTTTCAAATTCATGTATATAATAAACACCATGTAAATATTTTCCATTTACGCAAACTCTCATGATTTCATTTGATACAGGTGGTTGCGGATGTACTACTTATAGTAAACGAGAGACCTGAGATTTTGACACTGGATACTTGTACCTCTCTTCTTCCCCTTTTGACAACTCTTCTAGGGAGCAACATTGATAGGTAAGCAATTCATTTTAAAGAACATAATGAGTATTGACAGGTCATCTATTACTATCAATCCGTAGTTTTCTGTTTTTGTTTTCTAATTACCATTTCATGTCTCTAGTCATTTGAGTGTCTGCCTGGAATTGCTGCTTAAGCTGGTAAGAATGTATGGGTCACAAATTTACTCGTCGCTTTCGGCTCCATCATCTGTTGGTGTAGATATTGAGGCTGAGCAAAGGTTGGTTCGAGCTTCAATCTTATCATTCATTCTCATTTTCGATTGCAATTTACTCTGTTTGGCAAGTCAAATATGATTTTTGCTATTCAGGATGGAGCGGTACAGCTGTTGCTTTGTCGAACTCGAGAAAATCAAGGCTTGCCTTCCCTCTTTAGCAAGGTGGGTAAATTTCATCTACTGGACAATGAAGAGTTGGATGGTTATCTTCTATTTTTTTTTTTTTAAGTCTATTATCTTATGTCTTATAGATCTCTTTGTGGATATTGCAGAAGAGGAAATTTGGTGGCTAAGACTCTGCATGAACTTAACTTAACATTTCAAGAAGTTTCATCATGATGACTCCGTACTTTTTGGATGTGGATTTGGTTCCAGTGTGGAGTTTAACAATAGTAAAGTACCAAGCTAACCAAAAGAGTCTATGGAAGACTAACTAACCCTCGTGTGTTGCGTCTGGCCACTGCTCGGGTCCATTACCTTTGCCTTGCGGAAGCAGAATCTCCACGGTACTGTCTCTCGGTTTCAAGCTAACTTGGTGTGTAAAGAGCCATTTCGGCTGTTGTATTGATCTAGGTTATCATTTCTTCCACACTGTTTAGCTATTTGTTCTTAAGAGCACAAAAGAGAAGCCTATATCTTTAACAAAAACTGTTTTCTAGAAAATTCAGATCTTGAAGTACTTAAACCCAAAATCAGGATTTGTCATTCCCTCTTCCCAATCTCCCATTCGTTTACCTCCAAATACTACTTGTTGAATGCCCAAGTACCTGAAATTTTATATTAACAAATATTAAAATTTTCTGCAACAAAGAAGGAATCAATCAAAGAGGATAAAAGGGAACAAGTTCTCTTGTGTTACTTACTCTGAACTCATAACTGTTAAACAGTTGAGAAGCACATCAAGGGCGAAGATATCGGAAGTACCAAGATCAACCCTAGGAGAAACAGTGCAAGTAAAGTTCAGGCTAATTACAAGGTTTTTAAGGAAATGGTTTGCATTAGAAAGGATGTCAGAAGAGTTGTTTACCACACACGACCCCAATTGTCTTGAAATTCGACATCGCTAATGTCATGAAACGATGAAGGCATCACTTTGAAGCCCTTCTCTGCGTCATAGAGAGGATCATATTCTAGAGATGAGTTTGCTAGCTGCAATCATAGTTTAGATTATATCATTAAGACGAGAATGAAGATGACCACGGAAACGGGAAGAAAAATCATGATTAGCAACTAAAAAACAGAAGGGTAATGAACAAACCTGCAAGTTGGATGTATTGAAAGCGCCCAATCGCCCCATAACATACCATGCCTGTATAACCTGTTAACAAACTCGTGGTCAAAAGAAAGAAATGAAAAATCATTGAATCATCACAGTAAGACTCGATGTTTTGCAATAGCATTTAAGAAGATAATGTTCTTACACTTCCAATGAGATCAACATCTCGATCAGAAGGCGTTCCATAGAGCTCAAACCATATGAAGGAATCAACAGGATTGAAACTGCAGTTATCAAAATAATAATAGTGGTCATATAACGGTGAGTAATTTATGGAATGGGATTCTGAAGTAGTCTTATGTTGTAGAATGCAGACACCAAGGTTAAGCAATGAAGAAGATAGAAAAAAAAAAGAATCTCACTCTCTAAAGTTAACTTTGAAAGAAAGCACAGAACCAGTCTTCTGCTTCTGGAAATCTTTTCCCTTCTTCCTAACTCTTTCTTCAACCTGAATAAGTGATAAACATAAACATGTCGAACTTCACAATCGATAGAAACAAGACATATAAGTAAATGCCCGAACACATGCCAAATCTTCACTAACAAAGAAACTATAACAGAGAACAAAATTCATTCGACAATAAATATCTAAAGAAGAGACCAAACGAACGATTACCTTTTTTCTCATGAGCTCAGGGTTTCCTATGCTATCACCAAGAACAGCTCGAAGCTCTTCATCATCTTTACACGCACTTTCCAGTACCCTGCAATTCAGTAAAAGGTTCTCGTGATTTTGGCAAAAACGCAAACACTTGGAGTGCAAAAGAGAAAGCAACAAGTACTTGGCCCAAGACGGGTAATCGTGAAGACGATCGTAGTCGCGTTTTCGCTTCTCTTCTCTAACCTTGAGTAATCTCCTTCCTCTTGCCGTAGTCCCAGAACCTTTATTCACCGCCGACATTCCGCCGTTATTTTCACCGGCGAGGTTGTCGGAATTAGCAGAAACAGCGACGAGAGTGTGAAGATTACGCTTCTGGGAAGAGAATGGTTGTGTCTGAGAGACTTGGAATGGGGAGAAAGCGAAATTGAGATTCATGGTGCATGAAGAGAGCGCTGAGAGATTATTCTTTTCCTTTCCTTGTTCAATCTTTTCTCGTTACTGTTTGTTTGTAAACAAGCTGTTGAGTTAATAAAGTTTTGATCTTAGACATTTTGCAGACATTTTTACTAGACTCATAATTATCGGATTACAACATTTTAAACCGAACTTATCCAATCGAATAAATGGCTGGAACAATATCCCTCATGGATTGGTCATAGCTTTAGCTTATCACATTGGAAGTAACATTTGGTACATAACCTTAGCACAAAACCTGACTTCTTGCTGCTGGTTCTTATGAGTTACTACAACTCCCGATCTTATCTCCAGTAAAATGCTCACAACTTGAGAAGAAAAAGCACACTACTACTCAAAAAAAAGCCCACATCATACTCATATTATCACCATCCATGGACCATGGCTACAACAAAGAGTTGCAGCAAAGGAGCCATCCACATTGACACATGAACCAATTCCTCAACACTCTCATGCCATCTGAGAAGAATAAGCATTACTACTATAACTTAAAAACTCTCCTACAAAGATCACAGAATGCAATCCCACATTTGATTATCTGGGAAATATAGAGGATAAGGACCTGGAAAAAATCTGATGACATTCCTTTTAGTGTCCTGGTTCTAAACTACCAACAAAGATTTTCACTATGACAATCAACTGAAAACCAATTTCTTGAACACTTTCATGCTCACTACCATCTACTTCACAACCTCCACCGGATGATAGATTTAGAGGATAAGATAATTCAATGATGTTGATTTGAAGTGAACCCATCAAATGCAAAATCAGTTTGATAGGCTTCCAAGCTTGTCAATGGATCAAGACACAGATTTTAGTTTCTCCAACACAAGAAGAACTATATGATCTGGGAAATCAAATCAGAAGCAAGAAAACAGCAATAGAGGATTCAAGAATGGGTGAAATCTTATGTATATAATATGCTAAATGTATACAAAAGTACTTACAAACAAACCATTCACAGAAGATTTCTCAAGTCTAATAAGATCAGAAAGAGAAGAAGCAAACTTTTTGCCTTTTTCAATTCAATCACGGATCAATTAACTCGAACTCGTCTTCCTTAAGATGCGTGAAGAATTTGACAGGACCACGACCTTCGATCTCTTTCACGAATTGTACCTTAAACGGCAGATTAGCTGAGATTTTCTTTCCTTTCCAAAGAACGACGTAATCTTTGATAAAACCTTCCATTCCCATCAACTCAACCTCCGGTACACGAACCACATGGTAAACTTTCAACGGCACCGTAACCCTAACCCTAGCCCCAATCTTCTCCTTCGCCTTCTCGTCTTCCTCAGTCTCCAATGACGTAGATGAAGAAAGATCAGCGTCCGCGTCGACAGAAGCTGCCGATTTCACAGCAATATCACAACGAATTGTCGATCTTGGATTCTTTCGCGGGATTGAGAAGGCGCATTTGCTTCGACCGTAGGAAGTAGATAATGAGATAGGTACGAAGATGGAAGAAGATGAAGAGGTGATCGATTTACGTCCATTAAGAGAAGCAGAAGCTAGACAGTCTTGAGATGCCGGAGGACGAACAGCGGCGATAATCGCCGGTGACAGAGCGTAACCGTTAGTCATCTGCGTCCGAGCCGGGAAAAAAAAAATCTTAAGAAAGTGAGAGTAATAAAACAAAAAAGATTAATTCTTTAGCGCCTCATCTATTTATAGTATTAGATGATTAATTTAATTAAGGCGATTACTAATTTTGCTAATTATTTGATTTAAATTAAAGTCGGATTATTTTTGGATAAAAGAAAGGCGTGTCAGACTTACGACAATGCAAGGCCATAAGAGATGAGGAACTTGTGGCTTCAGATAGAGAATCCAACACTGTAAATATCTTGAGGCAATTTCCAGATATTATTGGCAGGATTTAATAAAAACACAAAACTATATAGTATAAACTTTTATATATCCACAATGGTTTCCAAATAAATTACCAAAATGAATGAAGTCTAATAAAAGAAACAAACAAAAAAGATAGGAAAAAGGCTTTCAGCAATCACTTTTGGCATTATAGTGTTGTATCAAGGCAAGGATTTAGAGTAGCTTTCTTTCACCATTGTCTTAACAAAAAGCTCTCCAGCTCTGTATGAAGATCTTACCTGCAAAAAGTACATATCCAATATCAAACAAGCACATTTCGACATCTTCAATGTTCTCAGATATTTTGACATAAAGAGATCCAAAGTAAGAGCTAGTTTGTGGCTTTACCAGTGGACCACTTGCAACATAGCGAAATCCTATTGATTCTCCGTATGTTTTCCAGAAATCAAACTTCTCAGGTGTGACATACTCTTTCACAGTCAGATGCAATGGAGTTGGCTGCATTGTGGAACAAGAGATAGGGTTTTAAATTGAAGATGTTCTTGGGAATTTGGGATCTTTCTATGTTGGAAATAGGAAATATTGTGAATAATGTGGGAAATGTTGAGTGATTAGTTTACCTGTAAATACTGGCCAAGTGTTAGAATATCAACATCTATAGCTCTTAGATCAGCCATTGCTTCCTTCAACTCTTCGTCTGTTTCTCCAAGACCCAGCATTATGGATGTCTTTGTGATCATTCCAGGTTTGCTGATCTTTGCATGTTTCAAAACCGACATGCTCTGCTCATATCTGCATTCTCCACATGCGATCCACGTTAAAAAAAAAAAAAAACGAGATTTGCAACTAGAGATGCAGAACACTTTAACCGATTGAAGAAATAATTGACTGTGTAATATGAGATTGACTTCCCGGAACAGAGGATCAATTCACTGCTCAGCCCATCTATGTCATAACCAATTTTGCAGGACATATAAAATAATGAAGAACAAGAAAACAGCACTCACCCAGCCCTAGGATCCCTCACAAGTCGCTGGAGCCTTTTCACAGTCTCGACATTGTGAGCAAAAACATCCAATCCCGAGTGCACAAGAGTGTCGACAGCCTCCAAGTCCCCACGGAAATCAGAAGTTAAGCATTCTATCATTATATCCGGCTTATGTCTCTACAAAGATGAGATATACATTTTCATTTCCACAAACACTCTGAAACCAAATTCGAGAATTCCAAAAAAAAAGTATTCTTAAGAGGTCTCATCCTATAACCTTGGACTGACAAAATGAGCAAATTTGATTCTTCCGCTACTTATGATGTCAATAACATAATGCATAAACAATTGGACTAATAACCTTCATAGCTTTGACAGTCTGCGCAAAATGTCCACTTCCACCATCAGGTATATCGTCACGGTCTACGCTGGTGATAACTATGTAGTCTACACTGCAACAAAGGAAAATGCAAGAGAACATATCATGATGATAGACCCATCATAAATTAACAAAGATACATTAGTGACTGTTGAGACTGCAATGACACCATTATTTAATTTTCATCCCTTCTTCATTTATTCTATCTAGTTAACAATTCTGAACACGAACATAAACAGAAGCTAAAGGACGATATAAGAAGAATTCTCAGATTAGGAATCAAATAAAAGTTACATACCCCCAACTAGCAATGGCCTTGGCAGTGTTCTCTGGTTCCATTGGGTCAGGAGGAGGAGGATTTCTACTGGTTTTAACGGCACAGAATCTACAGCCACGAGTACAAGTATCACCAAGAACCATGATGGTTGCAGTAGCTACACCATCACCACCTCCATTCCAACACTGTACATTATCAAAGCTAAATTCAGAATCTTTTTCAAAGCCACAAAAACTAGAGTAACTTTGAATGAATTAGCATCTAGGGTACTCATCAGTCAAGGCTATAAACCAAACTTCACAATTTCTCATACCCACAATTCATAAAATCAATACATTTCAATAACAATCTTCGAGATCATAGACGCAATCGAAAATGCGAACCTCGCCGATATTAGGACACTGAGCTTCTTCACAAACAGTATTGAGATTGAGACGAGATAGCGACTCCTTCACCTCCTGAAACCTCTCGCCTTGTGGTGCCTTTTGTCTCAACCAAGCAGGTTTCTTCACATTCGGATCTCTCCCAGTGAATGGACCCATCTTCGGCATTCCTCCTGGGTAAGGCTCACTCTTTTTCCCTTCTAACTCCATTAGGTTTTTCTTCAAAGACGACGACTCCTCCATCTCCGACGACAAAGACACCGCATTGGTCCGCAACGGCGATGAGACATCCCCGGATTCGCATCGGATTCTGAATCCCAAATTCACGCATTTACTGGAATGATGATGATGATGCTTCTGAGTCGAGATCGAAACTGAGAAAGTGGGATTCGTAATTGAGCAATGATGAATCATATTTTTTGCGTATGTGTATTTTTGTGTGTGAGGCAAAAAAAAGAAATTAGGCGATTTCAACAGAGTATGGAGAGACTCTGGTTCGGTTAGCTACTTTGGGATATCCGCCAACTAACTACCAATTACTGCGCCAAAAAAGAAATATTTTGGGCCAAATATGGAAGCCCAATAAGACATGTTTATTGGAGATATCCTAAAGCCCAAACTTATTGTCTTTAGCCCAATACAACAACGTGGGGCATTTCATTTGTGTTAAAACGGCGAAGTCTCAAGCCAACAGAGATAGGGTTTCGATAGTCACCACCACCACTTCTGATTACGCCGTGTCTCTGATTTCACTTGGTCAAACATCATAAAGCTTTGCCGCCGTCACTTATACGAATTAACTGACCTCTTCAATGGCGGAGGTAGAGGAGCTTGAGCACGAGGAGCAGAATATCGAGAAGAGAGTGAGGCAGAAAGGTAAACACGACAAGCCGAAGCCATGGGATGATGACCCAAACATCGACCGTTGGACAATCGAGAAGTTTGATCCGGCATGGAATCCCACCGGTATGCTCGAAACCAGCTCATTCTCCACTCTCTTTCCTCAGTACAGAGAGAAGTATCTTCAGGAGTCTTGGCCAAGAGTTGAATCTGCTCTCAAGGAATACGGTGTCGCCTGCAAGCTCAACTTGGTGCGTCTTCGTTTTCACTTCGTCTTTGTAGAGTAGAGGAATTATTCTAGTTGCTTTTACCTCTTTTTTTCTGGGTTTTTGTTGATCTGCGTGAATTATTCTGTGGCTGCGATTGTAGGTTGAAGGTTCTATGACTGTTTCAACGACGAGGAAGACAAGAGATCCATACATCATTGTCAAAGCTAGGGATTTGATTAAGCTTCTTTCCCGAAGTGTCCCTGCTCCTCAGGTATTTGTTTCGCTATGCTTCTGTCGACAAGTGTCCACTTCGAGAGAGCTTAGTTAGAATCGAAACTATGCATCTCTTTTCCACTGATTCTTTTCTGTTTGGGGAAACTTGACACTGCTATCTATGTGTTTGTTCTATGTAATTAGAAGTCTGTTAATCTTGGATATTTGGGGGTTTTTGCTACTTTATGGATTTTCTTCACTTGCACTACAGGCTATTAAGATTCTCGAAGATGAGATGCAATGTGATATCATCAAGATCGGTAGCTTGGTTAGGAATAAGGTACAGTTCAATCTTAGTCTCCAGGCTCAATTATCACTCACAGCTGTGCTTGCATTTTGGTCCCTTTCCTTGTTGGCTTATGTAAAGATAACCAATAGCACCTTATAATGTTGATATTACATTCGTGATATCTTTAAATTACTTCAGCATGCGGAAAATTAGCTTAATGTCACTATATATCTTGCGTGCAATGTCATCTGGTCCTTACATGAACTTATTTTTGCAGCAAAGATTTGTTAAAAGAAGGCAGCGGCTTGTGGGTCCTAATTCTTCTACCTTGAAGGTGTGTAAAATGTCTGGTCCCACCTTGTATACTTGAGATATATGTTTAGGGATAGTCTTAGTGGTACTAGTAGTGTAATGCTTAAGTGGTTATGCAAAACTATTGTATTCTTACGTGAATTCCTGAGAGAAACCTGTCAAATATTTGTTGTTTGGCTTCTTGCAGGCGCTGGAAATATTAACCAACTGTTACATTCTAGTTCAGGTAATTGTGTGTTTCTTTTGCAAATGTCTCACTACATTCGTAAATTTCTTTTCTCTATGTTTTTTTTGATATTTTCGTGTTCATTGGAATTAATCTACGTCTAACAGGGAAGTACTGTAGCCGCAATGGGTCCATTTAAAGGTCTCAAACAGCTCAGAAGGATTGTGGAAGACTGCGTACAGAATAAAATGCATCCTGTATACCATATAAAGGTGTGTATGTTTTTTTTGGTTCTATGTGCTTCCCTTATATTCCCACAAGAAGTTGTTTTAGAAACTTTGTCAGTAGACTATGTCAATTGGATTCATATACTTCAACACTTGGTTGTGCAGACTCTCATGATGAAAAAGGAACTGGAGAAGGATCCAGCTCTTGCAAACGAAAGCTGGGATAGGTTTCTTCCCACATTCAGGAAGTATGTCCCTCTCTATTCTTGATGAGTAAATTGAGTGATATATTTTAATATTTCAGTACCTCATGAGTGCATATATCTTATCTATTTCCAATTTGATTTGACAGGAAAAATGTTAAGCAAAAGAAACCCAAAAGCAAGGAGAAGAAGCCATACACACCTTTCCCACCCCCTCAACCACCTAGCAAGGTAGGAAATTTGCTTATCCTCTTATTGTATCATTTTCTGTGTTTCTATGGTGTTAAACCCAATATGTTAGAATGTTTCTCAACAAGAATTTTCTATAAAGCTGTTTTACTATATGTGCACGGTCTAGTTTCTGCTTTCTGTCTTTTGTTTTCTCAGGTCAATTTGCTAATGCATGGTTTTGTACTTGTTTTATGGTTTTTTTCCAGATTGATATGCAGTTGGAGTCTGGAGAATACTTTATGAGTGACAAAAAGAAGTCAGAGAAAAAATGGCTGGAGAAGCAAGAGAAACAGACAGAGAAGAGTACTGAGAACAAAAGAAAGAGAGATGCCTCATTCCTCCCACCTGAGGTCTCATTTCCAACTTGAGTGTCACAAGATACTTATCGTTTCTCTACCTTATATATGAAAACCTTAAAATCCGTAACACTAACTTGTTCGATTGGTTACTGCAGGAGCCTATGAACAACAATAGCAAGGCAAACAATTCAGAGGATGGAAAGAATGACATAACCGAGCTAACACAGTCCTTGAAGGTAAAAATGAAATCTTTATCGGTACACCTCTCTTGTTTGCTTTGGTGAATTGGCGCTGAGGCGGTTTTTGTTGTATTGATTTTGTGGTGTTGCAGAGCAAGACAAAGGAGTTGAAAAAGCAGAAAAAGACACACGAGAGAGTGAATGCAGAGGAGTACATTGCTGGTCCATCTTCTATTGATAAACCTGCCAAGGAGAAGTCCAAAAAGAATAGAGATTAATTCTAAAACCTGTTTTTTTTTAAAAAGAGAAAAAAGATTGAAACTTATCTTTGCTCAAAAGTCAAAACTGTGTAAACAAGTTAAAAATCTTTATTTTAGCCGTCAACTTACTTGATTAACCAAAGAGGTATTACAAAATTGGCCAAGAGATTTACATCTAGCTTGCTTCGCTAGGCTATCAGCTATATCATATTAGCTTTCCTACTTGAATGCATAAAAGAGACATATATGCTTGCAATGCCGCTCTGCTTCAGCTTCCATTAACACAACTGACAATTGGTATCAATTAGGAGCTTCATTGCAGTTGTTTGTTTGTTTTTTTTTTGGTAAAAAATTAACCGTAAAAAAAAAAACAAAAACGGAAAAAAGAGGGCACGTGGAGGTGGTGCTGATGCATTGCTGCCACTGGTTCCCTCTCAGCCTCACCTCTCAAAGTCGCCTGAGAATCTGAGCTCTCTCTCCCATCCTCTTTTTTTTTTTTTAATGTCGGGTTTTTTGTGCTTTCCGTCAATTTCTTTCCGGAGAGCGACTAATTTCGACGATTAGCTCGTTGGGGTTTTCTTCCAATTCGTGCATTTCGACAAATTAATAGGTTTTTGTAGGGAAATTTCTTCCACGCGACGACTTTTTTTTGGTAAATGGAAAATAAGAATCAGTAACAGTACGGGTTCGCATTCCACTGCAGTAGTAGGGTTTATAGTGTCTTAAACTAGAGTTGTGAGTTTTGTTTTTCTTAGGTTTTGAGAGAGAAAATTTGGGTTGTAATGGGGGATATAACTTGGGTTGAAGAGGGTAATGGTGGCTCTGCGATTTCTTCGAGGAAAAGGAAAGCGAGACCTAAAAGATTCGAATTTGTAGGATGGGGTTCGAAACAACTCATTGAGTTTCTCAAATCACTTGGTAAAGATACTTCTGAAATGATCTCTCGTTATGATGTTAGTGACACTATTGCTAGGTATATTGCAAAGGAAGGTCTTTTAGATCCTTCCAATAAAAAGAAAGTTGTGTGCGACCAAAGATTGCTTTCTCTTTTCGGGAGTCGGACGATTTTCAGAATGAAAGTCTATGATCTCCTTGAAAAGCATTATAAAGAGAACCAGGATGATTCTGACTTCGATTTTCTCTACGAGGATGAGCCGCAGATTATTTCTCATTCGGAGAAGATAGCTAAACGGACAAGTAAGGTTGTTAAGAAACCTAGAGGTACTTTTGCTGCTATTGTGAGTGATAATATCAAGCTTCTCTACTTGAGAAAGAGCTTAGTCCAGGAATTGGTGAAGTCTCCTGATACCTTTGAGAGTAAAATGTTGGGAAGTTTTGTGAGGATCAAGTCTGACCCTAATGATTATCTTCAGAAGTACCCTTATCAGCTTGTTCAGGTGACAGGTAATTTTCTCGAAGTCTTTATCTGTCATTGTGTCTGTGTCTGGTCTGTTGTAGAAAGTTGAACTCTCTCTGTGCTTTTGTTTTGTCTGTTATATAGGCGTGAAGAAGGAACCTGGGACTGATGATTTTCTTCTTCAGGTTACAAATTATGTGAAAGATGTTTCTATATCTGTGCTGTCTGATGATAATTTCTCCCAGGTAATTTACTTACAAGTTAGAAATAATGTTCATTCCTCAATTATTTTTTGCTTATGATCGATGAAAAGTCAGGTATCCATGTATTTTATGAACCGGCCATTGGGATTCTGTTTTCTAGTTATATAAGATGTACTATCTTTCACTATTCCAATGTTTGACGAACGCCCCCATTGTAACCTATATATTCTATGGTTTAGCATAGCTTTATGTAAACTTTTTGCAGGAGGAATGTGAAGATTTACATCAGCGAATAAAGAACGGACTTCTTAAGAAGCCCACAATTGTAAGTTTTCTATTAAGATTGCCCAGATATCCCATTTTTCAAAGGTTTGGAAGATACTTATTTGCGGCTCTCTCTGTTCAAGATTTACATTTTTCTGTCATGTATCCCAGCGACTTGCTAACCTTGCTGTTCATGACATTTAGATTTTGTAGTTCTTTAATCATAATTCATTTTGAACCTTGGATAGGTGGAGATGGAAGAAAAAGCTAGAAGTTTACATGAAGATCAGACAAAACACGTATATTTGCGACTTCCTCTCATGATTCATTTCTGTATATCTTATACATCATGCTTATGAATGTGACTACAATGATATCATCTGAAGCACAGTACATTTACGATGATCAACTTTTAACTGTATTTTCAGCAGAAAAAGCGACTTGTAGTCCTATTTCTTCTAACTGATCGTCAACTTTTGATGACTACCATTTTAGTGGCTTGGGAGAGAAATTGTATTGTTAAAAAGGCTTATTGATCGGGCTAATGAGAAGGGCTGGCGAGGAGAATATCCTTTTTTGGGATAAAATTTTGTTACTTTTACTTTTAAATGAATAATAATGTTCGGGAAAAGTGATAGTGAGATCTGCAATGAGAAAAGATCTTTGTTTATAGTTTTTCCTTGATTTCATGAGTTGTAACGCTGTCTGAGTACCTGGAGAAGAGGGAGCTTCTTCAAAATCCAGAAGAACAGTCCCGGCTACTCCGCGAAGTTCCAGAAGTTATTGGAGAGGATATTGTACCAAACCCTGAAGTGTCATCCCCTGAGGCTCATAAAAGTGACAACGAGCAACGACTGAGTGAATCTCCATTATCGTGCATCCAAGAAACCCCAGAAGTTCGCAACCTCTTTTGTGGAGAGGATCAACAATGTAATAATGGGTATCTGATATCAAACCCCAGCACAACTCTGGGAATCACGTCTTATGCTACGATTAACGAGAGATTGCCAGCATGGATTGCTTCTGCAGGTGCGTCATAACATGTATAGGGTTTCATGTTTCACTTTGTGGCATCTTACCATCATTGTTCTTTGTGATACCTGTCAAATTTTTATTTTACTTAACATGTCAACGATTTTTAGCTACGGCCTGTTCTTGCCGGTGACGATGTTGAGAAAACAGAGGATATTACGGCGTTCGTCATTGAAATTCTTGATTTACCAAAAAATAGAAAAGTCACGCCAGAGAATTGGTTCTTGAATCTTCATGTAAAGTTTGTAGCAGTATTTTAGGCTATCACGGCATCTGGTGGATCGACGCTGTTGTGCCTCTTTCTTTCTTTCTTTTTTGCTCTGGCAGAATTTGAAAGAGAAAAGCGAGCAAATTATGCTAGTGAAAATCGAAAAGAGATATAACATTTGCTTTGTAGCTATAATGGTTTTGAGAGATATTGACATATGGATCTTTTAAAGATTCGAGATTGATTTACGTGAACTGGTTGGTTTTGTTTGCTCTATTGTATAGTATCCAAAATTTTTATAAAGGAGGAGATGGTTCTGGAATTGATACCAACCCGCATTCTTCTCAATTACAGGTGATGAATATCTTCATGGAGATGTAGAGCAGCCAGCAAATGGCATCATTGGAGGAGAGACGCTGTCTAAAGTTTCTCAGCTTCAGTCAAGTATACCAGTAATTAATCTCAACAACGGATCTCAAGTTCAACCAAATCCATCAGAAGTAATCGAACTGAGCGATGATGATGAAGATGACAACGATGATGGAGAGACCCTGGACCCTAAAGTTGAAGACGTCCAGGTTCTGTCTTATGATAAAGAAAAGTTAAACTGGTTATACAAAGATCCCCAGGGTCTTGTACAGGGACCATTCTCTCTCATACAACTCAAAGCTTGGAGAGACGCGGAGTACTTCACCAAAAACTTCAGGGTTTGGATGACAGGAGAAAGCATGGATTCCGCAGTTTTACTAACCGATGTTCTTCGTCGGTCTAACTAATGCAGTAAACTATTAGATTCAGTCAAAAGTGGTTTCAGTATTCTGTTTGTCATTTATCTTCAAGTTGCAGTAGGGTTTTGCTCCTCCTTTTAAGTAAACAGCAAATAAAAAAAAAAAGGATGTGAAGCCAATAGTGTTATGACCTTAGACAGTTAGACTCCACGAGTATGAACAGTTTGTTTTATCAGTCATTGCTTCTGCAGTTTCTTCTCTAATATTTATACTGAATCAGTGAATCTTGTTGCCAAAAAGCCTACTAAAGCATAAAAGGAGATTTATGGAAATTAAACCAATTATGCTTGATTAGTTAGTACACAATGAGTGTTTTCCAAATAAGCTTAGGTGTTAATTTTGTTTTTGTGGTTAAAGTAAGATATATAAAATAATTATTAGAAAGATATACACAGTCGAAGAATCGAACTTTTAGTAAGATACTATAATTATTGGTTGCCAAAAAACAGAGAAAAAAATAAGTTACTATAATTACAGAAAATAACAAATAATAAAATTTGGTGTAATAATGATAATAAATTATTTAAGACAATAATGAGTCCTGAATATTCTATATCTAATAAACACTACTATTAAAGAGAAGAAAACAACTTTAATAATTAGAATTGGAACCAAAAATAAAAAAAATGAGAAACCCAATTCTGAGGTCACAACTCCAGAAGAAAAACTGAGAGAGTTTGCTCGAAGAAGAAGAAGAAGAAGCAAAAGCTGTTTTTTTTAAATCCATTTTTATTTTCTGATATGATTCGAAACTTATCTTCATCATTCGTTCTCAATCATACCATTCTTTCTTAATCTCCAAGCTCGTTTTCAATTTCTCATTCGAAATTTTACTGTTGAAATCTCGAAGCTTCTCTTCGGGTAATACCTAAATGTTGATTCGTTACTCGAAAACCCAGATGAGATTTTGAGAGTAGGCCGAAATTGGAGCCGTGTTATTGGTTCAGTTTCTCGAGGGTTCGATTTCGGATTCGTGAGCTTTTGGGGACTGGAGAAAATGGACAACGGCCATGAAGAAAGACTTGCCGAGAGGTTTTCAGGAGTAGAACTCGGAGAATCTTCAGGTTCCCATGAAAACGACGTTAAAAACGATAGCTTGTTTCAAGTTATCAAAGCTGTTGAAGCAGCAGAAGCCACAATCAAGCAGCAGGTTTGTGGTGTTCATATTTAGCTTCTCTCTCTTTTTATATCTCTGAAATTGTTTCAAATGAGAAAACATTAAGTTTTAGAAGTACTTTCTCAATCACTTCATTTCATCACTTCTAAGGTTCCGTGTAAGTATCTATAGGTATATCAAAGTAGCTGCAGAAAAATGCCAGGGAATGGAAATGAGTTAAGGAGTATATTTGTGTTGTAGGATCCGTTTATGAATTTCCTTGTCTCCTTTCATTTTCTACTGCAAAATGGTTGGTTCGATGTGAATCCGTTTAAATACTTACTTGGGAGATGATTCGGACAATTTTCGTCCAGCAGATTGATTTTCTTGGTCTTCTCTGACAATTTTTATTTTTATCTCTGACCAGGTGGAAGAGAATAACCTCTTAAAGGCTGAACTTCAGAGAAGATATCTGGAGCTTGCCAAATATGTAAGTCGTTTGATTTTTCATTTTCCTGGTCAAAGGACAGAAATATATGTCTCTTTTGGTCCGTAATGCTTCTCAGGGATTTCCCTAGAGCTCTGTTGACATTTCCATTGCATGCCTTTAGGGTCTCGCTGACCAAATTTGTGGTACATATGTGGTTTACATGATAGTTTTTTTTTTTTCCTCTACCTTTCTTAGAAATCAGGAGAATCCTTGCCCCAGACATCTGATCTAGGAAACCACTCGAATACTACAACCGGTGGGTCTTCCCCGTTACACCAGTCGGCCGATGGTATTAATCTAGTTGACCGGAGGAAAGGCAAAATCAATGGTTCAGGTACTGATTCGTCAGGTATGCTGGTTGTTCACCAGCATGTGTATCCAAATGGAGAGGAAGCTACTGTGAGTAATCGTTCTGAAGACCATTCTGAGAGAATCATGACTAATGGCATTGTCAGAGGAACTGTAGGTGGTGAGGGAACCTCTCAATTGTCTTCGTCGCCATCTACAATATCATTATCTCCTATGAGGTACTGAACCTCTAACTACCAACACTGGCCCCCGTGCTGCAGTTTTCTGTTTATCTCATGGTTCAACTATATTTGCATCAAGGCAGAGTGTATTCTCATAATTCAGTATCTGATTTTCCTTTGTTAGACCGCTATTGGAAGGAGATCATGACTCACACATCAACTCGTCTTCTCATGAGTTGATGCCAGTAGGTGAAGTAAATAATTCGGGGACTGCATGGAAGCAGGTCTCAGTCACTCTTACTATCTAGCTTTCCTTCTTAGTGAAAGTGAGAAAATGTTTCCCTGACTATGCAATTATCCAGGAACTCGTTCACAAGGTCCAAGAACAAGAACAAGAGATTTTGCGCTTACGAAAATATCTTGCTGATTATTCCGCCAAGGTGAATCGCTAGTTTTAATCTCTAGTGTTTTATGCATACTTGGTTGATTTTACACTACATTGTCTGACTAACCTTTTGGCCTTTTTTTTAGGAAGCCCAAATACGCAATGAAAAATATGTTTTGGAAAGGCGTATTGCGCACATGCGTTCGGTTAGCTTTATTTTTACTTCTTACAAAATATGTGTAACTTTATCTTGTATCGAATTATATTTACTTAATTCTGTTAACCACTTAGGGGATAATTTATCTTTCTTGTTGTGACAGGCATTTGATCAACAACAACAAGACCTTGTTGATGCTGCATCAAAAGCTCTTTCTTACAGACAAGAGATCATTGAGGAAAATATACGCCTAACATATGCCTTGCAGGTATTATCATCTTATATCTATGCGACTATAATTTTCTATCTTCTGGCATATGTATTTTTGATCTTCGTTTCTACTTTATATTGTAATCCTTTTTGATTGGACTCCAGTCATTAATCTTAGTTTCCATCATTTCTTATGTATCATTTTTAGTGGTTCAATTGGCAAAAAATTGGACTTGTCTTTGATACCTCACTTTCATTGTATAATATTATAAATCTAAATGGAAGCTACTGTTTTGGTTCTATCAGGCTGCAGAGCAAGAGAGGTCTATGTTTGTATCGAACTTGTTACCTCTTCTAACAGAATATTCACTGCATCCACAGATCTCGGATTCTCAATCTATTGTCAGCAATGTGAAGGTTAGAAATATAATCTTAAGTTTGTTATCTCTCTTAGTTTTTTTGTTTTGCTCTTCAGATCTCGGATTCTCATTCTATTGTATGCTAGTAGTTTGGGTGGTTGCTGTGCATTTTGGCTGGATAATTTTCAACTTTGCCCCCCCCTTGAAATTCATAAAAGTAAAACATAATACAAAAAAGTGATAAAATGGTGTCCTTAGTAACTGTTGAACACCATAGAGAACTAAAGTGACTGATAGAGCTCCCTGGTTCCTTGATGTTGGAGTGAAGTTTTTATGTATTTTTTTCCCGTCACAACATGTGATTGATGTTTACATCATATTCAGGTTCTATTTAGGCATCTGCAGGAGAAGCTCAATGTTACTGAGGTATGATATGCGGGTATGGCGTCTGCTGACATCATATTTCAGCGCTTGTTTCATTTGTTATTACAGTTTAGTCCTACGGTTGATGCTGGAGCTCTTGCCTACTGATATATGATAAGGTGATTCGTTCTGATCTTTTTTCTTGTCTGGTGCTAGACAAAGCTAAAGGAGACAGAATACCAATTAGCACCTTGGCAGTCAGATGTAAACCACTCAAATGCTTCACCTTTGTCACCATATCAGCCTGTTGGCGTGGGTTTGAGATATTCAGTAAGTTCGCTTTCCTTAATGTCCCCTCAATTTTCTTAAGTGACTTGAACCCAAAAACCCTTCTTTTGTTTCCATTAGACAGATCCAGAACACCATCATCAAGACAGGCGTGGTGGCTCAGCTGCGAGTATTTACCATCTTGATGGTCCTGAGAGGTATTAATACACTAATTTTGCTGTTGATTCCCGGATACCAAAGATAGGGATTTTAAGGATACTGCCGAAAGCAATGAATATTGTAATTTTTGGGGGTAATGGGATTAGTAAAGATGCCGAGCATTAAAAACTGTCAAGCTCTTCTGTCAATTAGACATTTTATTAACTCTTTGCTACTCTCTGAACCGTTAATTTCTTCTTGGTACTTTTTGTTTTTTTCTATATGGCCACGAAAAAGTTAATTCTGTAGCACAGTAACATTTTCTGAGTCCTCGCCTGGGTTTTATGAAAGCTAATGGTGGATGAATGCTTTTGATTGCAATGTTGAAATTAGTTCAATGATCAAATGTGTCGTGTAACAGTAGATCGCCAGCCTTCCAGATGCCTGTGCAACCAGCTCTCAATCAAGATGAATCTCATGGACCAAATAATCGTGTTCAGTTTCGTGAGCCTCTCAGCAATACTTTTATGGACGATGCATATGCTGACGTACAAGCAGATACAAATACAACTTTGGAAAATTCGACTTATGTGGCTGTTGATGATCCTAGCCCCTCAAATTATCCGATTTTGGCCCCAGTTCTTGAAGAACCATCTTCATCATTTTCCGAGGGTAATGGTTTAATAACAATGATAGTGGCATAATAACAATTCCATCACCGTCTTTCACTTTGTTTTAAATATTGTGAATTACTTTTGGCAGCTGCGGATGATGATCCGTTGCCAGGTATAGCAGACTTACAGATATCAGGAGAACCTTTTCCTGGACGAGAGCTTCAGGTTTCTGGTCACTCTATCAACGGAACGACAAAATGTAATTTTGAGGTGCATGCGAAATAGAAAGCTTTAGTTTTTACCCATTTTACGTCAAAATGCATTTTAATATATCTTCTCCCCTTCTTGAAATTTTAGTGGGTACGGCATCTGGAGGATGGATCAGTGAACTACATTGATGGTACATATGTTCCCCCTACTACCCTTGCTTTATTCTCAGAGTTTATCTTTCCATTTTTTCTTTACAGTTAGGTATGGTGATAGAAAATTTATGTATATATATATGACGATAAGAGCTTGATTGTTGACAATGTCCAAACGCAGGAGCAAAGAGGCCAGATTATCTTGTCACAGCCGATGATGTTGATTTATACCTTGCTATTGAAGTTCACCCCTTGGATGACAAGAACCGCAAGGTTTTTTTTACTAAATCTGTTCTGATGAATAAGAAAATACATCTAAAGCATCCAATTCACTTTCCGTGGAGAACATGTGATCAACCCCTATTTCAAATATGTTTGGGGACTTTAATATTGTGGTAGATGTGATTACCATTTCGTTACCTGTCTGGTTTTTTTATTCTTCTGCTTTTCTTTCGGAATCTAGGGGGAGCTTGTGAGGGTCTTCGCCAATGAAAATTGCAAGATCACGTGTCGTAAGTTTATGCTTTTACTCAGAAACTTTGGTCGCTCATGTACTTAACAAAACTCGATCCGTGGCTTGTTTGATCCATACCTGCCGCACCTCCATAGTTTACTTCATATGGAGCAAGCATTACTGTGTGACCTGTTTTGTTTTCTTTAACGCGTAGAGTTAAAAAATTCGAAACTGCATGACTTGTCAGTTTATAATTCAGTATTTCGTTTCTTCTGGCTGTTTTTCGGTTGGTCTGATTATTCAATTCTAGCTCCTTTAGATCTGAGCGTTTCTGGTAAATAATAAGAAAATTTCTTGTAAAGCTTACTTTGCAGTTAGTATTCTTAGATACTGCAGGGATTGCCGCTTATTCTGTGAGTTATCTGGTGACTGGTTTCCTCTTCTATTTTCACAGATCCGGAGATGCAGAGTCATATAGAGAAGAGTCTTTATAACGGTCATGCTTTATTCAAAGTCTTATATTCGGTATGCCAGTTCTCTTATTTCATCTTTTACAATTTTGTTCTTTGGTTTCCCTGCATATACCTCCTCTCTGTTACTCTCTCACTTGTACGCGTATTGCTTTTTTACTATGTGTTCTCTCTTTTGAAACAGATTGGTTATATGGATATATGGGAAGCAGCTACCTTGTCTATTAAGAAAGAAGGCTACAGCATCAAACCTACTAATGACCCTGTAATTACAGAAAAGTTCTCCTCTTCTACTAATGTAAGAGTCTTGCCTTATTTGCCCCTTTTTGTTAGAAATGTAATATTGGCTGAATTATATGTTAACATACATACCTAAGAATGAACTAATATTGTGATCTTTCTGATTCTGCTCCTAGATTGTGATTCCCTTTGATCAGCCTGCGGATTTTGTGATTATTGGTAGCGATGGCGTGGAGCATCTCTGTCGAGTGGGCAATGATGCAACAGATCTTAGCTGGTAAGTCTAAGTTGGCTTTCTTTGGATGAAGTAAAGTAGGTCAAAATGCCTACGTCGTTTAAATCAGGAATTTTTCGATGAAAATGGATGAAAGTGAAACTTGAATCATCAATAGTCTAAACTTGAATCTGAATACATTGAATAATCTGCTCGTGTTTTCTATCTAAATGAAGTTGTTTAATGTGTTCCAAGTAAGTATTCATTGAAGTTTTCGGTTTCTTGTATTAAGCAGTCAATCTTCTGTTTTGTGTTTGTATTTGGCAGCTCAAGAGACACAATTGTGCTCACCCTTAGATTATTTCTTAAGAAGGTAATGTTGCAGACTGATAGCCATTTTATCTTGTGCGATAACATGGTTGATTCGTTTCCTTTCTAACAAAGCATCACAATTTCAACATAATCATACAAATATTAGCTTTGTGAGAGAAGCAGTGGTTGATTGTTTGGTTTGCTGATTTGGTTGCAGGCTCTGCAGAGAAAGAAGGGGAAGAAAAAAGGATTTTTGTTTAACAAATGAGTTTTTGGTAAATAGTATTGTTGGCTCTCTTTTTTTTTTCTTCTCTGGCCTCTCCAGCTTTACAATATTAGAGATAGTCTTATGAACGATTCAGAGTTATTTATGTAAGGCTTAAGTAGCTGATTAAGAAAAGAAAAAAACCATTCAATCAATTTCAGTATAGGCAAGAAAATATGAGCTAAAAAAGTAATAAACCAATCTTATGTCGATCAGAGTTCCACTTTACTTTACATTTCATTACGAGTGTCGGTTTTTACATGAAGAAGATTCCAACCAAATCTTATGTCGATCAGAGTTCCACTTTACTTTATATTTCATTACGAGTGTCGGTTTTTACATGAAGAAGATTCCAACTGCAATCATTTCTAAAGAGGAGTCATTCTACATTCATGTAATTTCCAAAATGCCGTCCTTGGCATATGTGATGTTAAAGTGGGCTAGCAGCCCGCGGGCCTTAACGGGCTCAGTATAAAAATTTAAGCCCGTGACTCGTTCGTTTATCTACACTAACCTTTTTTTTTTTGGGCAAAATCTACACTAACCTAAACGGGTATTTTCTGATTTTTTTGTGCTTCGTTTCTCAATTTCTATAGAAGCTGTGACGTCGATTCATTTTTGATTGAATGATATAGTTACGATATAGTTTATCACCGTCCTCTGGGAAAGAGCACGTTAGAGAGGAGGTTGTACAACTAGGAGTTGATCTCTCTGTCTCTCTAGCTAATTCCATGTTCTTGCTGTGTGATGACATTCATACCATGTTGTGGTTCTGCTTTAAGCTCTTCAAGTATACATTACCTCCCTCTGATCCTGTGTTAGAAAGGCTGCTTCGTGTTGTTCACTATGTCTACTCAACGGATATCAAACCCAAGAACAGAGCTTGTCCCGATGATGGCAACTCGGTCCAATGGGAACTGGTCAGGACCACTTGGAAGGACTTTACCGACGGGATCATTATTCTGAGTCGCCTTGTTTTGCGTCTCAGGAAGAAAGATTGCTCTTTCGATGATCGGCTGTTGTCTTCTGCTATTGCAAAATACAAGCAACAAGTGCTGAAGAAGCTAGAAGATAAATTGATGTCCGCAAAAGATGTTTCAGAGCTTAATGGTTTTGAGAAGGAGACAGTAGCGTATAACGTTTCTGACCTGTGGAAGTCTCTCTTTGACGAAGAAGCTGGCGAATCAACTCCTGAAGTGGCGAGGAGTAGGATCCATAGCGACCTGTTTCAGCCTATTTCGGGGGACTCCTGCCATGGCGAGATACCGGCACTACCCGTTTATCCTCCTTACATTCTAGGGTCAGTATCTACGTGGCCCCTTTGAGAGTTTTCCTCAAATCATGACTCTGGTTATTCACAAAGTCATCTTCTTTTTTGTTGTTGTTGGTTTGGCAGGGCTGAATTTGCAAGGCAGGAGCTTATAGAGGAGGTTGTGCAACTAGGAGTTGAGCTCTCGCTATATGTTGCTGAGTCGATGTTCTTGCTGTGTGATGAAATTCGTAGTGTGTTACAGTTCTGCTCGAACTTATGGAGAAGGGTTAAAAGGGACCCGGAAGTTGGTAGTCCCGCAGGGGAAAGGCTGCTTCGTGTTATTCATCATGTCTACTCGAGATATATCAAACCAAAGAATGGAGTGTATCATATTGGTGGCAAGTCGGTCCAATGGGATTTGATCAGGGCGACTTTTGAGGATTTTGATGCTGGAATGAGAGATATGCACAATCTTTTTTTAATTCTCGAAGTAAAGGGAACCTGGGCAAATGGCCGAGAGTATACCTCTAGTGTTGAAGAAGTTCTGAAGAAGTTAGGTGGGAAGTTGAGGTGTGCCAAGGATGTTTCAGAGGCGAATGGGTTTGCGAGGGAAGCGATGAAGTCTAACATTTTGGACATGTGGAAGTCTCTTTTTGACAGAGAAACAGTGGAAGTAGCATGGACTCGTAAAGTGAGGAGGGAAGAGATTCTTTCTGACCTGTTTCAGCCTCTGTTGAAAGAAAACGAAGAAGCAAAACAACATTAGCCTACTAGCAGCCAGCAGGTGTCTTCTTGCTTCTATATATCGTCGGAGTAGTGGTCCCTTTATTTTCTTCAGTTGATTTAATTTGTCAAGTGCATGTTTATTTGATTAATCAAGTGCTTAATCTTCGATTTTTTTGGTATCTCACCATAATTGAAAAACAAAACTAATTAAAAATGGTAAGTAGGAAGAAAAATCCAAGAGGGGATTTGATACCACCAAATTAACAATTAAACATTTAACTTAAAATAAATGTTACAAGGAAGAAGAACACAAGACAAGACATGCCAAAGTAACTGTAGTCTCTAATCATAAATAAAATATAAAAAGTTTTGTGAGAAAAAAGCAAAGCATGAAAGGTTTTTTTTAGTTGGGCGAGAGAAAATGAACACGAGCAAGTGTGTACTCTTTTCCAGCAATCCAAACACCAGTTTGTGACCACTGTACATCTTCCCAATCAAGATTCTCCTCCAACACCTATTCCATTCCAAAAATCCATAGCACATCATCATCAGTTGTTTTATAAAGAAATTTACCAAACAAGTGTCAAATCGGGAAAAAATGTTAACCTCGATATGATCTGCTGGGAGTGGAATCCCGATAGACCGCATAAGCTTCTGCGGGAGAGGTTTCTTACAGCGTGACCAACGGAAAACATCGATTAAACTGTTGTCTGAATCTGTTTTGTCACCGTTTGTCAGATGGTTCTGTGACTTGTTATTATTATTATCTGTCTCCATAGCTTCATGTGATGATTGTTGTTGAGACGCTTGGATTGCTTTGATGGTTTTCTCTCCAGCGAAACAGAGCTCATACCTTTTTGCATACACATATTAGATTCAGCCACTTATGTCATTAATGTGGATAAAAGAAACATGTGATTACATAATTTGTGAATACCTGCATGAATGAGTTTCTAAGTACAAAACTTCTCCTTTCTTCAAGCGGGCAGAGGTGAAAAGAGGCTTCTTGAGACCTTTATCAGCAACAATGCTTATGCTATATTTGATCCTGCAGACAAGAAGATTGATCCGTAAGTAAAACCGACCTTGCGTCTGATAACTTTTAGGTGACAAAGATTCCTGATATATTTAGGAATATTCTGTGAACAATTCTTTGAAGTATTGGGAGATTATTATCAAAGAGTTACCAAGGTTCATTGCAGAGATTGTATTGTATTGTGACTTCTCGTACAAACCTTTGTTGCCGCAGAGCATTCTACAGAACAGTAATCAAGTCGTCAGTGTTTGAAAGATATGAAATATGAGAAAATTATGCAAGCCAAAAATGCCATATGTTATAATCCAAGAGCTGTAAGAAGATTGCACAAAATGCTTGCACTCAACAATACTGCAATCTGTCTGCAAATTTTAAAATCCAAATGAAGTGAAGAATGTGAACACTAAGAGAGCAGATATTTCCAAACTGGAAGGAAATTACCGAAGCTGCAGCCCTGGTGGTCATAGATCTTTCAACAGCCATTGGTGCAAGTGTTGGCTCCACAGTTGAGGAGTGTGTAAGAGAAGGTTCCAGTTCAATAGTCCCACCTCCTTTCTGGAATCATATCATCAGAATTTCCATAAGGATTTTAACACAAATTCACTTTAAACTAGATATTATGCACATAGTGGGAGAAGATAATCAAGGAAATTAGAAGGACAGATAATGGCAAATGTCAAATCACCTTCAGTATATAGCACCGCTCAACTCTGTAACTGCATCCGATTCCAGCTCCCCATGCTCGAGAACGGACATTATTCCTTAGCTTGGAGGTGTAGTCTAACAAATATATCAGTTAAAGTTGGAAGTTTGATAAAGGTTCTTTCTTGATATAAGACAGAGAGGAACTCAACATAGTATGATGGAACAGTCAGTTAAAGGAATTAAAAGTAAGATAGAGGTAAGCTAACTTACAATCTTGTGACGGCAAGACTCTAATAGTAGTGCGCAGCTCTTGCATTGTCGGTGGAGGAGGAGAAGCTGTGGGACGACAGTAACCTGTATGCATGAGAACTAGGTGGCAGGTAGACCAGAATCAGTGTCATGTTCGGACCAAACAAAGATATTAATTGCATAAGACTCATTAGGACACGTACCAGCAACAAGATCGGAATCGTCTGTGTATATATCTGTTCCCCATAGCTGGCCACCTCTTACCTGCACACGAGCCAAAGGTCTCAGCAAGCAACAAACAAGGGATGCTCTAAAGAGCCGTGTTTCCAAATTAATAGGCGAAGTGAATTAAACAGATAAAAAGACTGGAACTAAAACTGTATGAGAAACTACAAGTCTACAACACTCAAGTTATCTGAAGAAAAACAATGAAAATGATTATGAGAAAAATTTGGGTAATATATTCGTCTTACTTGGCGATTTGTAGCAGTAACATGCTCAGCTGGAATCCTAACTTCAAGAGTGGGGCCATTATTTGCAAAATCACCGCTTTTATCAGGATGAGACAAATCATATTCTTTCCACAATTTAATCAGTTCTTGCATACATTCGCCAACTTTGTAAACAACAATCGACACCTCTGACTTGCCTGAATCATAAGTACAATAAAATTCAACAAGACCAAATTATGAAGTGCAAACAGATTAAAATTTGTAGAAAATAAAAGCAACAGAGAGATGATAAAAGTTCAAAATAAAGCCAGGGATATAAGTAACTTTTAGCAGCCAAAATCTCAAGTAGCATTAAGGATCAAACCGACTTTTAGGTCCATCTTTTTAGATCTTGAGGTTCTTTATATATTTGACATTCTACTGTGAGAGTAAAGAACAGTAACCTAAGGATGACCCTAAGAAGAAAACCTCGAAATAGATTGGTAATTGGTTATCAAGTACATGTGTGTTCGTAGATGACCATTTCAGTGACATGTAAAAGAAAATTTAACCGTTTTTTTTTTACTATTGTTCTCCAAGCAGTGCAACTCCATCCTTTCTTGAGAATATAGAAATGAATGATTACCTTGTACTCTGCAAAATAAACACAATCAAACACGGATGATACATTAGAAGCCAGACTAGTAATTAAAAAGAAAGTCTTGAGCTTAGCTAATACCTAACTTGTGTGATAAAAGACATAATATTCATAACACAGATAGAAAAGGAGCGGAGAGGAATCCAGAGAAAAATCAAATTTGGTTTTAAGAGATAAGACACTACAAAATACAAATATGATTGCACAATTTTCTTTAAAGGCTTTTTATCTATTAAGAGGAAAAACAATAATGGTAATAAGATATTCAACAATAATTGCCCCCTTCATCATATAGTATCGTATCACCCGCAGATTTTACTATATAGGCTCCAAATTTAATCAAGGGGGTATGCGTCTCTAAATGGTAAAGATAAAAGGATTCTTCTAAGCAATGAGAAACCTATAATTATGATTAAACGAGGAAGACAGAGAGACGCACCCATCGTTGTCCTGACTCCGTGAGAGGACATGGTCGCGGTTTGTGGTTTGTGGGCTGCCTCTCGGTCTCAGCGCTCTCTTCCGCTGCTGAACTCCATAATTGAAGGCATCCTTTTCCCTCTCAGTAGCTCCTTCACCCTCCAAACACCCATCTTCAGATTCTTTTTCACTGATTCTGCTGCGCTTTTCAGCTCTTTCTGCCTCTGAATCACCATCCCTCTCTCTCCTTTTTTCCTTTGATTCTCTTTCGTCTTTTTCCCAATTATCCGGTTCGTTCTGCTTCTTCTGCTCTGGTGCCACATATTCCTGCTCTGATGGTTTGGCAGATGCTTCTCCCAACTCTTTCTCGTTCTGTGAGATCTCTTTCTCAGCACCAGTCCTTGGCTCTCTTTTGATATGATCTTTATCTTTCTCTTTATTCCTTTCTCGATCTTTCTGCTCCATCCTCTCCCGTTCCCACCTATCGGATTCTCTTTCGTCTCTTCCAATCTCTTTGGGTTCACTCATGACACTACCAATAAGCACGGATCCTCGACGGTCATTTCTATCCTTATCTCGGTCCCCCCATTCTCGATGCTTTAACTCTTTTCTTTTCTTATCTTTGTCCTTAAATCTATCTTCATTTTTTGCATCAACCTTGTTTTCTCCGACGGTTTCACGTCCTTCTAAATGGGGCCCCTCCACTGGCGCGGAGAGATCTTTAGGCTCAACCTCAGTTGGGCCTTGCGGATTACCGCGGGATACAACCCACGGATCCACATTTGCAGTCGAACCTTCAGCAACTCTCTTGCCTCTAGGGTAATCCTTCTGCTCTTTCCAAGCCAAGTGAGCATGCCCGTCCTTTTCCATCTTAATCTCCGCCTTTTGTTCATTATAATTCTGATTCTCCCTATCAAATTTCGTATCCCTCGTATAGCTACCGGTATTACTTTTTCCGCTAAAATCATCCCCTGGACGCTCAAACTTGGCATCCCTGTCACTCTTAGGACCCTGAATCTCCCTCTTCGTCTCACCATACATCTCTCTCCCATCATTCCTAGAATAGCTTCCGGTATTACCTTTTCCGCTAAAGTCGTCTACTGATCTATCAAACTTCACATCTCTGTCACTCTTAGGACCCTGAATCTCTCTCTTTGTCTCACCATAAATCTCCCTTCCATCACTCCTATTTTCTCTGTTCTCAACCCTAATTTCCCTGCCATCCTTAGTACCTTCTCTCGGTTCCATGGGCACAGGGGCGTGAGTCAAATGAGGATCACTAGAAGAAACAGTAGTGGGCAGGGACGGAGACCGATAGACAAGAGGGAGAGGAGAGCGTCTCTCTCCATCTCTAGGCTCACTTCTCGCAACCTTAACCACCGTTCTAGATTCAACCTCATAAGCAGCAGAAGCAGAAGCAGCAGCAAGTGGTGAATGAGAGTGGGGATGAGGAAGCGTGTGGAGGTGAGGTTGAGGTTGAGGTTGAGGTTGAGATTGAGATTGGGGATGCTGATGGGGTTGTTGTTGATGGTGATGATGAACCTGAGCCGGTGGTGGCGTAACAGGCTGATGCGGCGATTTAGGGTAAGATCCAGAATCCTCGTGAGGGTATTTTGGTGCTGAAGAAGAAGAAGATGGATGAGTAACACCCTCTTCGTGAGATCTCTTTGGAACACCACTCATCACTCCAAAATTCACAAACCTAAAAATTCACTGATGCAACAGATAGAATTGCACTTGATTATTACACAACCTAGAGCAAAAACACAGAATTTGAATCACCAGACTAACGTTGAATCCCTAAAATGAACATAGAGACGAAGATTACAAAAAAAAAGGATATTTTTACCAATTGAAACTGAAGCAGAGTACGAAGAAGCAAACCCTTTTGGATTTTTTGCCGCCGGGAAGTATAAATGCCAAACTGGATTCGGACTTTTGCCTCTCTGAGTTTTTTTTTTTTCCGTTCTCCTTGGTTTGCTGCTTAATTTTGGACAAATGTTTATTTTCGCGTTAATATTTGCTTCTTGTCACAAACCGTCGTGCACTTAGGTTTTATTAATTGTGGTTTTGCCCTCATACTTATTCAATCTTTCATTTTTTCACAAAACTTTATATTAATTGAATTGTTCATAGATATACCATTAGATTTTATTGTTTTTTTTTTAAACCTTGATTTCTACAGTACAATATTTTGTCATATAAGTCAACGGAAAACAGAACTCATTAAATTCACTGATACGAAATAAAATAATAGTAAACAATAAAATCCAAGGAAGGAATCCATCACATTCATGATCTATTTATATCTCTCGAGCGACCATGCATGATAGTGAAATATTCAAGTTTAAAGACATGATGATGATGTCTTGCATAGTACAATCATTAGTACTTGTTCCATGGTTTCTAGTAGTAGCAGTACTCGCTGGTGGAGAAGACTCATCCGATACGGCAATGTTTCCGGCGATGTTTGTGTTCGGAGACTCATTGGTGGACAACGGAAACAATAACCACTTGAACTCACTAGCTAGGTCCAACTATCTTCCTTACGGCATTGATTTCGCTGGAAATCAACCCACCGGTCGGTTCTCTAACGGCAAAACTATCGTCGATTTCATAGGTACATATTTACATATACATCGATCGATCTCTACATGCATTTGGTTTTGAAATCAATGCATGCATAAATTTAGAACAAGATTCACCCTTTTACCTTTTTGTGTTAAATTATTTAGTTTGTTTTAGGTTAACAATTAACATGATGGGGATGGATGTGGATGGTTGCAGGAGAGTTGCTAGGGCTGCCGGAGATACCGGCATTTATGGACACGGTGGACGGAGGAGTGGATATTCTCCAGGGAGTGAACTATGCCTCAGCTGCCGGAGGAATCTTAGAGGAAACCGGTCGGCATCTGGTACTTCTTCTTTTTTCTTTCTAAATGTTTTTATTTTTATTGTTCAAAACATTATTGAAAAAATAGGATATGTTTTTTACCGTGTTAGTTCATCATATCAAAAAAATTGTTTGTCGAAATTGGTCTTATCGATTGAGCATTCATATAAAGAATCCAAGTTCGAAATTTCCAAAAGTAAAACTGATAATTGATTTGTACTATGCTTTTTGTTAATAAGCACATGCATGGTTTTCGATATTGAAATTTATCTTTGGCTAAGTAAAAAAAAAAAAAAAACTGAATTGGGGTGCATGAAGTCCGCCGGCCGGAGCAGTTCGACCAATAGAACTAACGAAGAGTATTTAATGTAGAGTGACTTTGATAGGGTGCATGAAAAACTTTTGCCTAGCTACGAGACTTGAGTATTTAATTACCCAAAAAAACTCTAATAAATGGGGTTGCATGCATGCATGAAGGGAGAGAGATTCAGCATGGGAAGACAAGTAGAGAACTTCGAGAAGACATTAATGGAGATAAGTAGAAGCATGAGGAAAGAGTCAGTAAAGGAGTATATGGCAAAGTCATTGGTGGTGGTGTCATTGGGTAACAATGACTACATTAACAATTATCTGAAACCAACGCTATTCCTCTCAAGCTCCATTTACGACCCTACTTCTTTCGCCGACCTCCTTCTCTCCAACTTCACCACTCATCTCCTTGTAAGTGTTATTTACTTCATGCACCTTTCACCACTTTCTTTGTTTTTCTAAAAGTAATCACAAATCGTGTAACCATACGTGTGTGTGAGTGTGTGATCATCGGGTGCCTAAAACCCATTAATATCGTTACAAGTACCCACACAGCTGTGGTCCAGTGGTGTTGAGAAATGGGGAAAGGTTTGAAGGAACTAACCCAGGTTCGATCCACGCTGGAAACAGAAAAAACATATTTGTGTGGAAAGTCTGGGCTTAGGGCCTTTGGCCCAAGCAGATTACCTGGTAGTCCAGTAACAGGCGATCTGGCTACCCTCTGGCATTAGTCGGAAAGCATTCCAAACTCGGGATAGACAGTGTGGTGGCCCCTTCGGAGAGAAGTCCACTCTGAAACACTTCGGTGCGTTTCTACCGGGGCTGACCGGATCAGCCGATAGAGTTTATCAAAAAATATATATATATATATCGTTACAAGTTTTAGTGTTTTACGGTTTATTTAGTTTTGCACTAAAATTCGAGTTTTATACATTTTTTGTTTAGGATTTGTACGGAAAGGGGTTTAGGAAATTTGTAATAGCCGGTGTGGGTCCATTGGGTTGCATACCGGACCAACTAGCCGCCCGAGAGGCTCCGCCAGGTGAATGTGTGGAGGCGGTTAACGAGATGGCTGAACTCTTCAACAACGGCCTCGTGTCGCTGGTGGACCGTCTTAATTCCAATAGTAAAACTGCTAGTGAAGCCATCTTTGTTTATGGCAATACCTATGGAGCCGCCGTGGATATCCTCACAAACCCTTTTAGTTACGGTTAAGTATCTAGTTTATCTCTTGTATTTATGCGATCAAATGTTTCGTTTTAGCTAAGTTCATATATATATATCACGTTATTAAAATCCAATTATAAGTTGAAATGGATGGTTGTTTTGCATGTGGTTCATAGGATTCGAAGTGACGGATAGAGGGTGTTGTGGAGTAGGTAGAAACAGAGGAGAAATAACGTGTTTGCCACTAGCGGTACCATGTGCTTTCAGAGACCGACATGTGTTCTGGGATGCATTTCATCCAACACAAGCTTTTAATCTCATAATTGCTCTCAGAGCCTTTAATGGTTCCAAATCCGATTGTTACCCCATTAATCTTTCTCAACTGTCTCGTCTCTAAACACTCAACAAATCCTTCTCTTTTTTGTTTATGTATCTTGGATTTTTGTTACTTTCCAATTTTGTAGACTTCAGTAGTTCTATCTATATATTGCATAGTTATTCTCATTATCTTTTTAATTTGGTGGTTATTTGGTTCCCATTTGAATGTGGACCTCTAATGATTACATTATTGTTAACTGCAAACATATACGTAAAAAATGAGTCAATCGAGAAATTGTAGAAGCGAGACTTTTCATGCATAGTGATGACATAAAATGTTGTATATTGCGGGATGATTCATAGATTAGTCCATAGATGTGTGTATACATATCGTTTCTCTTTTTGTTACATGTAAATTTTCGTTGAACAGAAAAATAAAAATAACTAGCTTGAAATTAGACAAGCCCAAGTATAAATTATTGGAGCCCAAAACGAGGCTAGCAATTCGACAAAAAAAAGATAAGCTTAGGAAATTGTACCTGTCTCGCAATCGGCAAAATCATCCTCTCCGACGTGATGGAAACAGAAGCGGTGGTTAGTACCGTCGCCGGCGTCGACTGTTTCGTTTCACTCCCTCGTCAATTACTCCACGCGCTTCAATCCACTAGCTCCTCTCCTCTTCCTCCGCTTCTTCCTGTCGAGCTCCGCTCCGGTGACCGCCGTTGGTCAGTTGCTTGGTCCGGCTCTAGCTCCTCCTCTTCTGCGATCGAGGTTTCGCTCCCTCTCTAGATTTGATCCCGTTTAGTCAAATTCAGTAATCTACTTTGGTTTTGGAGTTCTGACTTCTTTTCCTGTTTATTTATTTATTTTGATTCTTCCAATAAGGTCGCTCGAGTGTTTGCGGAAACCATTTCGTTGCCGGATGCTACAGTTGTTCAAGTTCGTGTTCTTCCTAATGTACCCAAGGCTACATTAGTAACAGTTGAACCAGAGACTGAAGATGACTGGGAAGTTCTTGAGCTCAATGCAGAACTTGCCGAGGCAGCTATACTTAGTCAGGTTAGTGGCTCTAGTTATGTGACATTGGCTTAATCAGTTTGCAAATGGTCTGCTGAAGAATTTTCAAAACATGTGTTCCAGGTGAGGATACTACATGAGACCATGAAATTCCCTTTGTGGTTGCATGACCGAACTGTGATAAGCTTTGCAGTGGTTTCAACATTTCCATCAAAAGGGGTGGGTAAGACCATCTTTAATCCGCACTTTTGTTGTATTGTCGTTGTCTATACCATACTTTTCAAGTTTCCTCTTCTTATTCTTCAACTTATCTTCCCTGCGATACAAGAAGGGGCTTACCATGACTACTTGTCTCTTATGCTTATAATCATTACAAGTTGATTAATGACAGAATTGTCTTGACTGGTGGCTCGTTTTCAGTACAACTTGTGCCAGGAACTGAAGTGGCTGTGGCTCCAAAGAGGCGTGACAGAAATCTCAAAGCAAAAAAGAGTCAGGAAAAAGAATGCACCAATGTCAAGGCTCTATTACGCGTACAAGATACTGGTAGATCAGCCTTTCGTGAAGCTGATGTCAAAGGATTTGAGCTAAGGGTAGCCCTCACTTCTGTTGCCTACATTCATCCAGAAACTGCCAAGAAATACTCTATAGAATCTCTTCAGTTGATTTCTGTATCCCCTAGAATACCTTTGAAAGGTACTGCAAAAAAGGATGAAGCCTTAAATATCAAAAACAGTGGAGCTTCAAAGGTGGCCGAGAATGGTACTTCAAGTGCAAAGAAAGAGCCCCGTCAAACAATTCTTCGTCTTGTCTTTTCGGATTTAGTTGCTAAAGGACATCTAATGATGGTCGAGTCTCTTCGTCTCTATCTCGGAGCAGGCCTACACTCATGTGAGTAAATTTTGCTTAAACATTCAGATGCTTTTGTTTTATGTACGTCCAGAATTTTGATGTTAGTGTAAAGATCTTATATATCTGTTCAGCTTGGTCATTAAAATCTGTGGAGAGACTGAGCTGAAGTTAATTTGACTGGTTATCGCAGTATGCGACACTAGGATTTTTGTTTTTGTTTTTAATGTTGTGACTATCAGGAAGTAAACTTGTAAGGTATTTTGAAAGTTATCGTGCAGGTTGAATAAATGCATCATTTTGCATTTTTCCATTCTCAATCGAGCATTGTTATCACAGAAAAATAAATGTCTGAGCAAGAGTTATCACTTGTATGTAGGGGTTTACTTAAGGGGATGCAATGTGAATGAAGACAAAGAAATTCCTGCTCTTTCACTTTCTCCTTGCGTCTTCAAGATTTCTGAAAATGAAAAGGTGCTGGATAGGGGTACAGATACGCTTGGTAATCATAATTCTATTAGAAATTGCAGTCATCCACCATCTGGCTTGAGCACCTATATGGATGTTGTCGACTGGTCTGTGCACGATAAGGTTGTTACAGCTCTTTCATCTGAGGGTTTGCATGACGAAGGAAATCAAGTTAATGCCTATCAAGTTAAGAATAAGAAAAAGTTGGAATGCCTTACTCGCCTGTGGTCATTGGCACAGCTTGATGCTATTGCATCAGTCACAGGAGTTGATGTTAGTTCGTTAATTGTAGGAAGAGAAACGTTTTTCCATTTCGAAGTAAGAGGGCCTGAATCGTATAAATTCAGAGACGGGCAGCCTTCTGTTAATGATCGTTGGGAAAGTGGGAAGAAGGATAAAAACACTCCTTTAGAAATTTTGTACGTCATGACGGTCTCTGACGAGTCTTTGCTTGGTGATAAATTCACTGGGTATGATCTTAGCCTGGATAGAAGTGAGAAGAGCGACAATGTGGTGCATATTGAGCCAGTGCTTGAGAAGATGAATCTTGGCGACCCTATATATTTTACGTCGGCTAAAGAAACACACTGCAATAAAGGTGTTTCCCCGGATATATCCTCCTTGACGTGGATGGGCCCAATCGTGTCGGATGTTATCAAGAGTAGGTTTTACTCTCTTAGCTTCATCTTAACCTGTGTTGATATGTGGTTGTTCTAAACCTGCGTCGTTTATTGCATCTGGAGAATGTTTATGAACGGATCTGTTCCTAAAGCCAACAATGCTATTATGCAGGAATGGCCGTGTTGTTGTCTCCTGCAGCTGGAATGTGGTTTAGCAAGTTCAAGATTCCATCACCTGGACATATTCTCATATATGGGCCTCCTGTGAGTTCTCATTTTAGTTGTTCCATTTGGTATTCCTCGAATATGAATTTAGTTCTTTTTATTTTGGCCCTTGGATTTACTTGGGTTTAAATTCCCCATTGATTCCTTCTCTCGCAACGTTAGTATGCTACCCATTCAAAAGCTACCCCTTTGGCCAGGAATGAGTATCAGAATGTTTATCTTGAATCTTTAGATTTGTTCTTCTTTACAACCGTGAAACATTTTTTCTCTGGCTTGCAGTCGTTGCTTAATTTCCCATTTTTCTTACTGGTTGAGACGACCTGGTTGTTTACTGGTTCAAGCTTCTGGTTGATAGGGTTCAGGAAAGACAATATTGGCTAGAGCTGCTGCAAAGTACTTCGAAGAACAGAAAGACTTGTTGGCTCATGTGTGAGTGATTTTGGTTAGGTTTATGTTTGTCTGCACTGATCTACTCCAACCAAATCCATTTATTTTCAAGAGACTAATTCTGGTACAAATGTGGTCTTAAGTATTGATTTCCTTGTGCAGGATTTTAGTATCCTGTTCTACGCTTGCCTTGGAGAAGGTTCAACACATCCATCAAGTCCTTTCTAGTGTAATAGCTGAGGGCTTGGAACATGCACCATCCGTCATCATTTTGGATGATCTCGATAGCATTATCTCATCGTCTTCAGATACTGAAGGAACACAAGCTTCGGTTGGGGTTACGATGCTTACAAAATTCCTAACAGATGTTATAGATGATTATGGGGTATGAACTCTTGAAAGATATCAGGTTTAACAGTTCCACTGTTTTCAAGTATTATATGCACGTTTATGATCACAATTATCTATGCATCACGAGTTACTTTCCGAAGTGTGGTGAATTTAATTATCTGAATGCAAGACTTCCTCCATGCGAAGACAAACGTCATTTCTCTTGATAGTCCGGAAAACTGCTTTCACCTTTCTTATTAACGCATACAACATTAAGTGGTTCTTGGAACTTCTTGAATCCACTCTTCTCCAAGATATGCCTTTAGAGACTCACGTTTAGTTAACCAGTTATATTTTTGCTCACTCAACAGGAATACAAGAATTTCTCTTGTGGAATTGGCCCACTTGCATTCGTTGCTTCTGTCCAGTCTCTAGAGCAAATTCCACAGACATTGAGCTCATCAGGTACAAACGTGTTATCTCTACCTGTTTAACAATAATATTTCTAACAGAATCAGTTCATGTGACTATTCATTTGATATTTTCAGGACGGTTTGATTTCCATGTACAACTGGCTGCTCCTGCTACCTCGGAACGTGGGGCCATACTGAAGCATGAGATACAGAAACGCCTTTTAGACTGTTCAGAAGACATATTGCTTGACTTAGCTGCTAAATGTGAAGGATATGATGCATATGACCTGGTATTATAAATTTTATATATGCTTTAAATTTGCCGCTGTGCTAAGACCAGAAAAGACATTTGAAAGAAATGTTGATAGACTTTGGAAGCTGACACTATCTGTGATTTTCATGTTATATATATTTTTTGTTCAAGCTTGCTATTTCGTTTTTAATTTGATCGTCATTCTACCCGCGAATCTACAGTGCGCTCTCTTTGAATTCTCTTTTTTTTTTCTTCCAGGAAATATTGGTTGATAGAGCTGTTCATGCTGCCATTGGCCGGCATCTACCTTGTGAATCAAATATATCCAAATATAATTTGGTTAAAGAAGACTTTACTCGAGCTATGCATGATTTTGTGCCTGTTGCCATGCGTGACATCACAAAATCCGCCTCTGAAGGTGGTCGTTTGGGGTGGGAAGATGTGGGAGGTGTGACTGATATTAAAAATGCTATAAAAGAGGTATGTAAGTATGCTGATTGCCATATCTGATTTTGTTGCCCTCATTAAAATCTAAATTAGTGTGGGGTAGGAAATCTTGCCGATATTGTTATCCTTTTATAATTGCAACCAGGAAGCATCTGTTACCTGCGTCTTTGTCTGCTGGCTTTTACTTATATCGTTGGATGTTCTCTTACTGAAGTTAGGTCGTGTTCAGTGGGAAACAATATTTCTGTAAGACCTGAGTTGATATAAGTTGAAATATCTTGGAATGAATCTGACGGAAATAATTCCACTGGGCGATATAAGAGCCACTAGTTATGCTAACAACTACAGTTTGAACCAGTTCTTATTTAGAGAGAGAATTTTGGATATGCAACTTATTTACTCTTTGCCATCTCCAGATGATTGAGCTGCCATCAAAATTTCCAAAAATCTTTGCAAAATCTCCTCTGCGTTTGAGATCGAATGTTCTCTTGTATGGCCCACCCGGTTGTGGGAAGACTCACATTGTTGGTGCAGCTGCTGCAGCGTGTTCCCTACGGTTTATATCAGTGAAGGGGCCTGAGCTGTTAAACAAATACATTGGTGCATCTGAACAAGCGGTAAGAATGACACTTTTCTTTGTTTTCCATCTTTAAGAACCTTTGAGATGATTATACTGCTTTTCAGTTCTTTAATGACGCATGCTTTATCTTTACTGTTGATTTTTTTTTATTCTTTACTTGCTTAGTCTTTACTTTGTATTAAACAATAGAATGGTAAAAATCTCTGAGAATGTTTCTAGAGAAAAGTTTTCAGACAGCTTTGTTCCTTTTAACTGTTATTCCTGCTAGTCTCTTTACCTAAAAATCTGAAAAATGTTATCCTAATGGTTCCGCATATCCAATAATGAAAAAACACACTTCTTTCAGGTCCGTGATATATTTTCAAAAGCAGCAGCTGCAGCACCATGCATACTCTTTTTCGATGAATTCGATTCAATTGCTCCCAAGAGAGGACATGATAATACTGGTGTAACTGATCGAGTTGTTAATCAAGTAAGTTACTTCAAAGTCTGTGCATATTCGATACACGTAAAGTTCAAACATCTCGTATCATATTTTTCTTTTGCGTAGTTTTTGACAGAACTGGATGGAGTTGAAGTTCTAACCGGTGTCTTTGTATTTGCTGCAACCAGGTATTCACACCCGAATAAGTCTATCTTGCATATCATATTTTGTGTTCGATGTATCACAGAATCAACAGCAAATGGTGGATTCTTCTGAGTTGATAGTTAATAATAAATCCAATATATGATAGGAGCCATTAACGTTGAAGCCTGTTCTCAGTCCTCAATTTATGTTAATCATTATATACAAAAGATGGATATATGACTTGATGGATATATGACTCAATTAACAGTAGACCAGATCTACTTGATCCTGCACTCCTAAGGCCTGGCCGGCTTGATCGTCTTCTTATGTGCGACTTTCCTTCCCCACCAGAACGATTAGATATTCTTACTGTTCTTTCTAGAAAGGTTAGTACTCTGAGTTACATCATTTCTGCTAATTATCTTTTTTTTTTCCCTCAAATCTCATGTAAAGTATGTATGTTTCATATCTGAACAACCCTTAACTAGAATCCTCTATGGCTAAGCCATTCCTATCAGATTGTGGCATTCATTTGTTGGTTAGACAATATGTAAATTAGATATATATATATATATATTACAAGTTAAAATGACAAAAATTCTTTCTGCATTTCTGCAGCTTCCAATGGCTGATGATATTGACTTAGAGCCTATAGCTTTGATGACTGAAGGCTTCAGTGGAGCTGATCTTCAAGCTCTTCTCTCAGATGCGCAACTTGCAGCTGTACACGAGTATCTGAACAGAGAAGATAAACCTGAGACCGGAACTACGCCAATAATAACCGATCCTCTTTTGAAGTCGATCGCTTCTAAAACTAAACCATCAGTTTCCGAAACCGAGAAACAAAAGCTCTATGACATATATAGCCAGTTTCTGGATTCAAGAAAATCGGTATCTCTCTCCTCTCCACCCTAATTTCTCTTCACTTTGATACACACCCAGTAGTTGATTACTAACAACATCAAAATCTTATTTTGCTTGTAGACAAGAGAAGCAAAGGGCAAAAGGGCAACCTTAGCATAATCAAAGGTATTACAAAGACAAAAAAGAATGGTTACATTGTAGAAATTACATGATGTAAAATTTTCTTTATGCTCAGTGTTAGCATTATAGTAAAAAAAAAAAAAATGGTTGAGGTTTGGAATAAAGATAGTTAGAGAGCCATATGGTAAGTTCTACAAGATTCAAACGACTATAAAAACCTCTACAGTAATAAGATTCATAAATTTGTTTTGGTTGTTTTGGAATTTTAGAAGCTGTAATATTTTTATAAAAACAAGATATGAAAATTGTACTATTCAAGTTCCTTAATTTTGTATATGAAATGAAATAAAAAACGCTATACAAAAGAGTCAACTATTATCGCACAACAAAATTTAGTCCACAGAAAAAAAAAGGGAAAAGAAATGACACCGTATTGGTAACTCACAGGTAAAAATTGTTGCCTCCTATCTTTGACAATGCCAGTTAATAATGTTGTTAATTGTTATGGCCATAACTTGAAATGAGTCAACAAAACTAACCACAGAGGACGAATAGAGGCAGTTAAAGAAACTGTCATGAGTTCAGTTAATAATATCTCATCACATTCAATAGAGACTGCCAAAAAAGAAAAAAGAAAAAAGAAAAAAGAAAAAAGAAAAACCGATTGGTTTATGAATTGGGCGGGGGAGAGAGGTTGCTGTGACGTCTCTCTCTACCCATCTCCTTAACCGAAACGGCATGCATTTCTTCCTTCTTTAACTTCCTTTCTCCATTCCTTCACGACAACAATGAAATAAACTCATCACAAATTCTGTCATTTTGATGTTTGACCAAACAAACTAAGTTCTATAAACAAAATAATACAAGTTCTTTTTTTTTTTTTTTTGTGTGACAAAAACCCAAACCCAAAAACGGTTAAGAACAAGGGAATAAAAGAGTCATTTTCCTCTTTCCTCTCCATATTCTTCTCCTGATTTTCCTCTTTTCATTTTCTTCTCTTTTCTGGTAATATGAACAAGTTCTGAGCTGTGACCATTAGACCAACAACAGTCTTTATATCTTCTTTTAGTTCTTTCTCTCTCCCTTTTATTTCCTTCTCCTGTTTTAAGTTCCTATTTCTTAAAAAAAAAACCGGCATTCTCATTTTATTTTACCTCCACTTGCTGCCTCGGCTTGCTCTTCAGGTATGTCTTTGGTCCTTTTTTCTTCGTTCTCTGTGATTCTGTAGGGTTGCATAGAACAGAAACCCAAAAGCTAGAGATATAACTTTGGTTATCAAATCGTAAAATGAATGATACATAAAAACTTTATAAACAGTTCTCTCATCATATGAACAAGTAACCACCATAAAGATGATGATGAAGAAGATAGATTTAGGTCATGAAAAACCCTCTTCATTGTCATTCCCACAATTAGTAATAGCACCAAACTTCGACATAGATTTTTGAGTATACAACAAGTCAAAGCAAATTCAGGAAAAGCCAATTTTTTATTGTTTTTTACACGGATACATTTAAGAAGCTAGTTCTCTTTTTAAAATGGTGAGGTTTGAGTACACGACTACCTCATCTGTTGTATCTGTAGCTATTTATGTTTTGAGTTGCTTGTTTTTGAAAAATTATGACCAAGGAAATCGTTAAGAAATATCAAATCTTGGATTACAAGAAGACTTCTGAGTATTTTTACCTTCCATCAATCTCATCTCTGAACTCACATGAAGTTGACATTCCTCGGTTCTCTTGATGGGACTAAAATGTGAAAAGTCACCTTTCATGTTTGAATATTTTTCATCTTCTCATCAGCTGAACAAACGGTAGTTTTGTTGCAGGTCAGAGGACAAAGATCGGTGTAAATCAAAGAAGGACTTACATATGAATAACAAAGGGAGTCAGAACGTTGCAACCTGCAAGCCTGTCACTACATTTGTCCAAACTGACACCAACACTTTCAGAGAAATTGTGCAGCGCTTGACAGGTCCATCAGAGAACAACGCTGCAGCAGCAACACCAGAAGCAACAGTGATAAAAACCGCCATACAAAAGAGGCCGACTTCAAAGCTCCATGAGAGAAGGCAATGTATGAGGCCAAAGCTTGAAATTGTCAAACCTCCTCTAAGCTTTAAGCCCACTGGTACGACACCATCATCTAAATCTGGTAATACCAACCTTTTAACAAGTCCAGTGGGCACCCCTTCTTCATTGTTCTCTAACTTGTCCTTGATAGAAGGGGAGAAAGCAGAACCAGATAGTTGTACAACAAACATCGAAGAAGAGGAGAAAGCCATTAAAGAGAGACGCTTTTACTTGCATCCATCGCCAAGGTCTAAACCAGGGTATACAGAACCAGAATTGCTTACTTTGTTTCCTTTAGCATCTCCCAATTCGAGTGGCAAACCATAAACCCGACAATCGACTAAAGAGTGAGCTATGCAAGCCTCTAAATCCCCATCCACTTCTTTGAGGATTCAAGTAGATCCATCTCACTGCACCTTTATAAGCAAATACCCATAGATTGTAGATTTTTCCTGGTGATCTTCTCCTCTGTGGCTCTGTATTGAGGTTTTTGTACGATGGGTATGTTTCACAATTTTCATCGATTAAAACACCACAGGCTCTTTCATCTGAAGATATAAAGCATTGACTAAGTCAAAAATACTGTCTCTACGAGGGTGAGAACAATCTCCAGACACAAAAACATCCCTTTTCCCATCCACTTCTAGCCAGCTACATCCCGCTGGCTTTTTCATTTCCTTTTTCTTCATTAGGTTTCTCAACTCCATCACGCCTTCCCATTTAGCATCTGCAGCATACATATTCGATATGAGAACGTGGTTTCCGGTGTCGTCAGATTCAGCTTGCAAAAGATGATTTGCAACTGAGTGCCCCAGATCCATCCTATTATAGGTTGTACACGCCCTTAACAGTGTTCCCCATATATTTGCATTGGGTTCAACTGGCATCTGTGTGATGAAAGAATATGCATCATCAAGTCGACCCCCTCGAGCAAGTAGATCTACAGCACAAGCATATTGTTCCATTGTAGGTTTCATACCGTGAACTGCCCTTATTGAGTCATATATTTGCAATCCATCCTGTATTAATCCCGCATGACAGCATGCAGTCAACAGAGTAGTTATGAAAACATGATCGGGCTTTATGTTTGAGTCAATCATATGAGAGAAGATCATAAGTGCTTCCTTACCCCTACCATGTACAGCATACCCAGCTACCATAGCAGTGAACATAACCAGATCTCTACGAGCATCTGACTGGAAGACAGAATATGCATGCTTCAAGCTGCCACATTTAGCATATACATCTAGTAGAGTCCCCTTCAGGCGGATATCACCAAGTCTGCCTCTAATAATATATCCATGACATTGTCTTACTAGATGCAGAGAGGCTAGCTGCGCACAAACAGGAAGGAGATTCATTATAGTCACAGTGTTAGGCCTCATTCCTCGAGCTTGAATCTCACGGAAAACACCAATGGCTTCATTAGGGAAACAACTTTCAGCATAGATACGAACCATCAAACTCCAAGTGGTCAGATCAGTAGTAGACATCTCACTGAACAGCATCTGAGCATCATCATGACTTCCACTATTAACATATCCTGATAACAATGAGTTATAGGTAACCAAAGTTCTCCTCTCTGATAAACCCTGAAAAATCTTATGAGCGTATTCAACATTACCACATTTGGCATATGCATCAAGCAATGCATTGCCAAGCTTGGGTTCCTCTTCATTGTGTAAAAGACCAGCCTTAACTGAGTACCCATGAACTTCTTTTACTTTACCAATTCCCTGTACATTTGTGCAGAACTTGAGTAGGCTTAAAATAGTAACAGAGTCAAGAGTGATTGCTTCGTTAAATAAGTGGTGCAAGAGATTCAAAAATTGAAACTGCTTTGGACTGTCTGCAAAGGCATCAAGTATAGCATTCCAAGATATTATATCCTTCATGGACATCAGTGAAAAGGCCCAATATGCTGCACTCGTGTCACCAAATCTTGCATAGAAACTAATGAGAGCGTTACCAACTGATGTATCCTCCAAAAGGTAAGAATGGCGCAAAATATAACTGTGGATCTCTTTCCCACAGGTCAAGTCAGTTAACTGCGCACAGACAGGAAGGATGCTGAGAATAGTTACTGAATCAAGAGAAACATCCCCCTTTTGCACCAAGTTGTGAAATAACTGCAATGCTTTAAGCCACTCATGATTTGATGCATAACCGGCTATGACAACGTTCCATGAAACCAGATCTTTGGAACCCATCCTCGTAAACAATGAGGCTGCTTCTTCTATTCTTCCGACTCTCAAATAGAAACTCACAAGTGAATTACATACAAAAACATGGGTTTGCAACCAAGATCTCTGCACAACATAACTGTGAATCTGTCTCCCACTTCGATATGCAATGTTCTTGCCCATGGAAGCGCAAACTGGCAAAACATTTGCAATTGTTGCATAATTTGGCTCTGTAGGTTCTTTCAGCATTAGACAAAACGATCTAAATGCATCAGCCATCATCTTATTCTCAGAAAACCCAGCAATAATCGCATTCCATGAGACAACATCTTTGTCAGCTATATCATCAAATGCAGTAAAAGCATCAGGAATAATATACCCAAATTTGGCATACATGGAAACCAAAGCATTCCCCACAAGTGTATCTTTCTCTAAACCGGTTTTAATAATATAAGAATGCATACTTTTCCCATTGTATGAATCCCCAAGGCGAACACACACAGGAAGAAGAATCGCAAAGGTAACGGAGCTGGGCTTAGGTTCATCTGCAAAGTGCATTGCTTTGAAAAACCTCATCGTTTCACGACCACAAGAAACAGAAAGTCCAGTCAGAACAATATTCCAAACAACAGGATCAACACTGTCCATTTGCCTAAACATCTTCTGGCAATCATCCATTCTCCTGCATTTCGCATACATGTTAAGAACTGACTTCGAGACCTCAGTGCAGGCTATATGACCAAGCTTGAACACGCAACCGTGCAGAGCCCTCCCTGATGTGAGCTCAGACACTGAAGCACAAGCTTTGACAACATCCAAAAAAACCCTGTGATCAGTTCCAAAACCAGACAAAAGTCTGAAATTCTGAACAAATTGCCGTAAAGGTACCATCTTTACCCTAAATATCCCAGAAACGTTCCTTTATCCACAAAATCCACGTTACATTGGATCAGACATTTTCACAAACACCTGATATGCAAGAACGATTTCCTACCCTTGTAACACTCTAGTCTAGAAATAAGCGTTGTCCATATGTAACAGACATAGAGAAACTGATAAAGCAATATCTTTATCAAGTTCCTTAATTTATCAAGCAATAAAGGTGTCGCTCAGTCTCCATCTCTCCATCAAAGCAAGCGAGAGTTTTTTTTTTTTTCTGAGTGAATTGAAAATTATGAATATGATTTAATTAAAACTGAAGGGCTAACTAAGAATATATTAATTTACTTTAGGTCCTTACGTGCAAATTTACGATTTTTATTCTCATTCGAATAAATAGAAAAAAAAAAAAAAATCCATAAATATATATCTCTCTCGTCGACTCTGCTTTACACATCTCACACGGTAAAGTTACATAGTTCAGCTTGAATCGGCACTGACGAAAGCATCTTTCTGCGAATATGGCGCCTCCGGCAAGTGAAACAGCTGCGGTGGTTGACGGCGGTGATGGGCAGCAGCAACGACAAGCTGGTGGGTTTGGGCAGGCAATTACCGGAATCATTAGAATCGCCGTCTTCTGCTACTTTGCTTCTAAGTTCTTTTCTCCGAAACAAAAACCATCGGATCCTTCTAAGCCTTCTCATCTTATGTCCAATCTCTTTCAGAGGGGAGAGCCCATGGTAATTTTCTGGTTAATTGTGTTGATTACTTGCTATTCGTTAATTCATGCAATTTGATTCGTTTCTCTCTTCTGAAATAAAGTACGTTATTTTTTATGGTCGAATCACAGAATTTTTCTTGTCTGAGTGTTTTTCCACTTCGGAGTGGTTTAGGGTTTTACTGTTTTGTGTTTTTGTTTTTCCAGGATATGTGGTTTTATCTTTCGGAGCATGAGAAATTCAATGACTTTGGCAATGAAGGTGCGCTTATTTGGCACGAGACAAACATACCTTATGCTGTGTGGAAGCCAGAGAGCACTAGGACCTTGTCAATGACATATTATCCATCCGAGGTAGTAGAAATTTGGGTTTTTTTTCATTTGCTTCCTTCGAGATTAATATATTTGCTCCATTGAATTAAGATGTTTGTTGTTCCAGGCACTGAAGAATAATGGAAGTCTGTATGCTCATGTCTTCTTTGCTCGATCTGGCTATCCTATAGATCCTAATGATCCTGAATACCAACCTCTTAACTGCTTTGGCAAGACACACCGTAAGACTTCCCTTTCGTTAGACAAATAACCTTTTTTACAGTTGTTGGTAGTGAGATTCTTGTATCCGCTAAACTGGATGACTCTTTTCACTATTTCAGCCGTTGCAACTTACTTGCCAAAGCGAAAAGCAGATAAGAAGAAGAGTCTGTTGGGAAATCCCAAAGACGATGATGAATCCAATGTTGAAGTTGAGGTATGTCTCTACAGAAACTTCTGATACGGAATTTTTTATATGTGTTTATGTTAATGTTTAGCCTGTGATGGCACTCATTCTTATGAACTAACACAAAGCAAACTTCGCAGGAGGTTGATGGTAAGGACTCGGATCTCAAGGATGAGGGCCCTGTGGAATGGGTTTCCTACTGGAAACCAAATGTCACAATTAACCTAGTCGATGACTTTACTCGGTAAGTTAGTTAGTACTGATAATTGATAGATGAATAATGGATTTATGGCATCCTTGCTTTTCTTTTGGGTTCACTCTTAACATTGAATTTCGTAAGACGTTTGCTAATTGTTTTCGATTTCCGTACAGCTATCCACAGCATGGTGTACCACCAAACATTGATCCTTGTATCCTTTTATTTTATGATGTTCCTACTTCCTATTGTTATTTGAGTTTTTGACAACTCTCTATGCACATCTTTCTCTAACAATCAAAGGCAGTAGCATGTGTATCATCTTCCATGCCATTTTTACATTAGTTGGATTAAACTTGTTTGAAAATTAAAAATTCTCAAGGACCAAAACGTGAGTTTCTGGGTTCTTCGAAGTAGTGCTACCTCTCCTTGTTTCATATATGTGCATAAATACACAAAGAACCTATGCTTCCTTTTTCTTTTGGCTTTTCTTTTAATCTTTGGAATGGGAATATATGAATATTTCACTTTGCCATGCTAAAGGTGTGATGGTCCATATCTGCTCTTTCCTTAACTTTTATTGGTAGACTTACTGGTGGAACCTAGTACAGTAAACTACTACCCTACAGTTTTCTTTAATGAGTTTTGGCTGCTAAGGGACAAGTTGATTTTAATCAATGAGACGGTCTCAGAGCTGCCACTTAATCTGGAAGTAAGCCCCATAAGCATGACAAAGTGGCAGCTGTTTCAGCAGATTGATCAGTCTTTCCAGATTCACCGTAGCTATGGAAGCATGCTTGATGGTGAATCTGACGAACTAAAGGTAATTCTGGTCCTTTATGCCCAGTTAGCTTCATTGTCATATTATATACTAGGATGTGCATCTAACGACTCAAACTAGGGATCCCTAACGTAGTATAGAGATGTGATTAATTGCTTTCTGTAAATCGAAGCTGCGGTGATCATGTTTTTGATGGTGTATAATTTACTTGCAGAGGGTGTTTTTGGAAGGAAATCCCTATCTGTTGGGCGTCACAATGTTTGTTTCGATGCTTCATTCTGTATTTGACTTCCTTGCATTCAAAAATGGTAAAGACCAGAAAGAACATCTACTTTCCTAAAATGCCTCTTGAAATTAGCTATTTAGTTACCCGTGACATTCCCTGCAGATATCCAGTTTTGGAACAAGAACAAATCTATGGAAGGACTGTCTGCGAAGTCTGTCGTACTGAACTTTATGTGTCAGTTTATCATCTTCCTCTACCTGCTTGACAACGACACTTCGTGGATGATACTGGCTAGCTCTGGAGTTGGTGTCTGCATCGAGTTCTGGAAAATAGGGAAAGCCATGCGGATTGAGGTACCATCTGATATGACACAATCTGATCACTGAGTCAAGTATTTTTGTGCATGTGTAACATCATTCAAAAATCAGTGACATGTTCATCTGATGTTTTTTGCTTTGCATTTAATCCGTGGCAAACATTTAAACTTCCCAGGTTGATCGAAGTGGGATGATTCCAAGATTGAGGTTCCACGACCGTGAATCCTATGCAAGCAACAAGACCAAGGAGTATGACGACATCGCCATTAAATTCTTATCCTATGTGCTCCTCCTCCTTGTTGTGGGTTTCTCCATATATTCACTTGCCTATGAACGCCACAAGAGCTGGTACTCATGGATCCTATCTTCACTAACGAGCTGCGTCTACATGTTTGGTAAAAAATCCTTCAAAAGTATCTTAGACCAGCTCAAAACTCTCTTGTGGTTGATTCAATTGAGTCGAAATCAATGTGTTTTGTGTTTCCACAGGTTTCATAATGATGTGTCCTCAATTGTTCATCAACTATAAGCTGAAGTCAGTAGCACATTTACCATGGAGGCAAATGACATATAAGTTCCTCAACACAATCATCGACGATCTCTTTGCTTTTGTCATCAAAATGCCAATGCTGCATCGCCTTTCTGTCTTCCGAGATGGTGAATACAAATCCATCTTCGCCTTTTTGTCATCAAAACTTCTTATACGGAATTTTTTTATATGTGTTTATGTTATTGTTTAGCCTGTAATGGAGCCAGTGTGATGGCCCTCATTCTTATGAACTAACACAAAGCAAACTTCGCAGGAGGTTGATGGTAAGGACTCGGATCTCAAGGATGAGGGCCCTGTGGAATGGGTATCCTACTGGAAACCAAATGTCACAATTAACCTAGTCGACGACTTTACTCGGTAAGTTAGTTAGTACTGATAACTGATAGATGAATAATGGATTTATTATGGTTCACTCTTAACATTTAATTTCGTAAGACGTTTGCTAATTGTTTTCGATTTCCGTACAGCTATCCACAGCATGGTGTACCACCAAACATTGATCCTTGTATCCTTTTATTTTATGATCTTCCTATGATTATCTGAGTTTTTGACAACTCTCTATACACATCTTTCTCTAACAATCAAAGTCACTAGCATGTGTATATCATCTTCTATGCCAATTTTACATTAGTTGGATTAAACTTGTTTGAAAATTCAAAATTCTCAAGGGCCAAACGTGAGTTTCTGGGTTCTTGGAAGTAGTGCCACATCTCCTTACTTCATATTTGTGCATAAATGCACAGAGAACCTATGCTTCCTAATTCTTTTTGCTTTTCTGTTAATCTTTGGAATGGGAATATATGATGATTTCACTTTGCCATGCTAAAGGTGTGATGGTCCATCTCTGCTCTTTCCTTTACTTAACTTTATTGGCAGACTTACTGGTGGAACCTAGTACAGTAAACTACTACCCTACAGTTTTCTTCAATGAGTTTTGGCTGCTAAGGGACAAGTTGATTTTAATCAATGAGACGGTCTCAGAGCTGCCACTTAATCTGGAAGTAAGCCCCATAAGCATGAAAAAGTGGCAGCTGTTTCAGCAGATTGATCAGTCTTTCCAGATTCACCGTAGCTATGGAAGCATGCTTGATGGTGAATCTGACGAACTAAAGGTAATTCTGGTCCTTTATGCCCAGTTAGCTTCATTGTCATATTATATACTAGGATGTGCATCTAACGACTCAAACTAGGGATCCCTAACGTAGTATAGAGATGTGATTAATTGCTTTCTGTAAATCGAAGCTGCGGTGATCATGTTTTTGATGGTGTATAATTTACTTGCAGAGGGTGTTTTTGGAAGGAAATCCCTATCTGTTGGGCGTCACAATGTTTGTTTCGATGCTTCATTCTGTATTTGACTTCCTTGCATTCAAAAATGGTAAAGACCAGAAAGAACATCTACTTTCCTAAAATGCCTCTTGAAATTAGCTATTTAGTTACCCGTGACATTCCCTGCAGATATCCAGTTTTAGAACAAGAACAAATCTATGGAAGGACTGTCTGCGAAGTCTGTCGTACTGAACTTTATCTGTCAGTTTATCATCTTCCTCTACCTGCTTGACAACGACACTTCGTGGATGATACTGGCTAGCTCTGGAGTTGGTGTCTGCATCGAGTTCTGGAAAATAGGGAAAGCCATGCGGATTGAGGTACCATCTGATATGACACAATCTGATCACTGAGTCAAGTATTTTTGTGCATGTGTAACATCATTCAAAAATCAGTGATATGTTCATCTGATGTTTCTTGCTTTGCATTTAATCCGTGGCAAACATTTAAACTTCCCAGGTTGATCGAAGTGGGATGATTCCAAGATTGAGGTTCCACGACCGTGAATCCTATGCAAGCAACAAGACCAAGGAGTATGACGACATCGCCATTAAATTCTTATCCTATGTGCTCCTCCTCCTTGTTGTGGGTTTCTCCATATATTCACTTGCCTATGAACGCCACAAGAGCTGGTACTCATGGATCCTATCTTCACTAACGAGCTGCGTCTACATGTTTGGTAAAAATCCTTCAAAAGTATCTTAGGCCAGCTCAAAACTCTCTTGTGGTTGACTCAATTGAGTCGAAATCAATGTGTTTTGTGTTTCCACAGGTTTCATAATGATGTGTCCTCAATTGTTCATCAACTATAAGCTGAAGTCAGTAGCACATTTACCATGGAGGCAAATGACATATAAGTTCCTCAACACAATCATCGACGATCTCTTTGCTTTTGTCATCAAAATGCCAATGCTGCATCGCCTTTCTGTCTTCCGAGATGGTGAATACAAATCCATCTTCCCTGAGTTTATTGATGCATGTCTGTAGGATAGTTTTGGAATTCACAAAAATTGATGATGATCTAATTTTGGTGTTGTTGTTGTTGCAGATGTGATATTCTTAATATACTTGTACCAGAGATGGGTTTATCCTGTGGACAAAAGACGTGTCAACGAGTTTGGTTTTGGAGGTGGGGATGAGTCTGTGGATACAAAGAAGATCTCTGACCAAAAAGATGACAAGAAAACAAACTAATTAGCTTTGTGCTTTTGTTCTTTCAAACAATTTTTGAGTTGTTTTTGGTTCTGCTTTAGGAAGTTTTGCTAATGCGGCTATTTGTATCCAAATGGAATTTCGTTTTAGGGTAATTTTAAAAAATGTGTTAAAAAGAATATCACTTGGTTATACTTTTGTTTTGTTTATATAACTTACTATTAGATCTCAGTGTTTTCCTAGACACTCTTTTTCTGGTACCAGATTTAGAGGGTTCTAGGAGAGTAATATATTTGATGTAAGTTGATGATTTGCTAGATTTACCAAATTTCATACTAATCTCTATACTTTCCATTACTCACCAACGGATCATCGAATTGGCAATATTTTGGAGAAGTCGAATCTCCATGTCCTTGTGATCTCTCCTGACTCCTCTCTTCAACTCTCAAAAGCGTGATAAGCAGAAAACAAAGAGGCCACATCAATTACCAAGTGCACTGTTACGCGGTCATAAAACACTAGTAACAGCCTTCTCTTATGATCTTGTTGTTGATCCCAAAACTGCTAGGATAATCCACCTCAACATACAAAATAATGGAATAGTCATCGAATACAAGTTTTTCATATCACAGACTTCACAAAATATGAAAAACAGGTTTGAACAACATTTATGATGTTTTTTTTTCCCTAACTGATGATCAATCATCCTTCAAATTTGTTTTTAAAACTAGTTGGTAATTAAAAAAAAAAGAAGATTATTTCTAGGCTAAAAAGGTAGAAGAAAACTACACTGCTTCGAAAACTTAAAAAACATTATCTTCAAAAAAATATGATATTAAATTGTTGTTATGAAAATAATTTCAATCACATAAATAAGAGATTTTACTCTTTTCAAATCAAAGAATGTTCATCACTTCATATGCTTTAAAGTCATGAATCACATTAGTCATTAAGCTACTAGGCCTACATGAGGGAGGCTTTCTTAGACCATCATTAACAGTGAGTTCTTAACTTTAGCTCTTAACATTGTTTAAGATTAAAATTTTGGTTTTTGTAAGTTAAGAGTCAAATCTTACCTTCTTAACACTCCCAAAAGCTCTTAGCTAAGAGTCAAATCTTAGCATTTTAATATGTATTGATTTATTTTTCAAAGTTTAATTCTAAGATAATAAGCTAAGAACCATCTAAGATACCACCAATAATTAGCCCTGAGACGGATCCGGATATCCGGCATTTTTGGGCATTTTTGAGATATCCGGATCCGGATCCAGTGCGGGCGGATCTCTAATTTTTTTATCCGGATCCGGTTATACCGGATTTCCGACCGTCGGATACCCGCTTGAAAAATTAAAATCCAGCGGATATCCGGATCCGGATCCTTACGTTATTAAAACAATTAAACTGATTGGGCCAACTAATGGGCAACTCAACTGTGTTGTAAGCCCAATTCAGTTAAAAATTCTGTAGGTTTTAGTGGCTATTTATAACACTTGCAGAGGACAAAATGAGTTTACGTAACCGATGTCAAAAAGCAAAGAGAAAATACTAAAGTCCCACATCGAGAAGCTATGAAAAGTAGCATTCCCCCACGCTGTTATATATATGAGTTTGTAAGCCTTCGTTATTTTCTGTCATACTCCCTCTGTTTCATAAAGAGTGTCGTTTTAAGGTTTTATTTTTGTTTCACAAAGAGTGTCGTTTTAGGTTTTCAATGCAAAATTTAATGTTTTTTTTATGTTTTATGACTATTAGTATTCTGCAGATTGTATTACTATTGGGCAGATTATGTTTAGGTATATAGTTAATGATGTTTTTGTTTAGAAAAAATAAAAAATTTAATGTTTTCTTAATCTGTGTGCAAAACTCTAAAATGACACTCTTCGTTATTTTCCTTCATATTTGTTTTCAGATATTAAATTATGGAATGAAAATAAATATATTTAAATGATATTTCTATGTAACGGATATTTATCCGGATCACAAAGATATTGATATCCGGATCTGTTTTAAGCGGATCCATGATTTTATTATCCGGATCTGCTTGGTCCGGATATCCTATTTTCCGGAGCGGATCCCGAATCGGATCTCGGATAATAGTGCCAGCCCTACCAATAATGGTGCTCTTCGACGGCTACGAACTTCAAACGGAAATCGATATGGGACCATGTGTTTGAAGGAAATCCTCAAATTACTATATTGCATTCTACAAAACACCTATATTAACGAAAATGCCACTCACTTACCCCTTTGCATTATTTTTTTGACAAACAAAGAAAAAGATAATTGCATTAAATCACTTAATCTTTTTCACACTCCTAATTCGAGTATTGGTGGCCTATGTCTATGTGACAATAAATTCTGGTAATCTTCAAGAAGAATGTCCCCTCTTTCCTTTTTTTTGTAGTATAGTATAACAGTATTTTCCTGACTCTGCCTTTAATAATCTTAGATAGTGTTTTTGTTATTTATTTTCATTTTTGGTTCAATAAATCTAAAACTGAAATTCATAATTATCTTAGACATTTAAAACAGTTTTTTTTTTTTTTTTTTGACACTCATATTCCTAAATATTGATCATCAATCTTCCAGTTTTTAACTAAAATAAGAAAACGTTTTTTAATTTATCCTTCCAAACAATAAAACTTACTTATCTTTTGGAGTATAATTTTAGTTAATATGTCAATTTGGCAATTCACCTGTCTCATTTACATAACTAATTATTGCCCCATTTGTGGAACACAATGGGCAGTTCCGTAATATCCCACCATACGAGAAATTTGTCCGCCAAAAAGATCAATTATATGTTTTGTAAAAAAGTCAAATATCTCTCTCTCTCTCTACTCTACTCTACTCGTGACTGAGCAAGAGAAAACAGAGAGCATAAGAAACCAATTCAGCCGATTTGTTTTTTCTATTTTCTAATCATTTACTCCTACAAAAGAAGACATGTTCATACCTTTATAGTGTTATCTAAACTCTTTTGGGGTCTTGCATAAGAAACCAGTTTTCAAGGTTCATGCCTGGCCGAATCCGATGTAGTAGTAGTCATCACCACAGATGTTCTCAAGAACTGTCTTCATCTCTTCAAATGTTTCGTATGCAGGCAAATGGAGAATGTAAAAACATGTGTTAGATGAAGGATATTCGGAGTCAGCAGCTTTCAAAATCTTAAATTTCTTTGGTAATCCTCTAAATCCTCCATGTGGTAAAAATTCTATGGATGCCCAAAATCTTAGTAAATTCCGCTGGCTTGGTTCTGTCATTCCCTCCACTATATTCCAGAACCAACCAATTTCTCTATCCGTAGCTTCGAATCCCGAGTCATAGGTGGTATGAGCCTTCCACTCTTCCATTATGATTCCGGTTACATCCCCACCAAACATAAGATCAAAATCCTCTGGCAACAAGCTTCGGAAGAATGATGTATGAGGTGTAGAACCAAGAAGCATATCACTGAATCCTTTTGCAAAAAAAGATACTTGTTCGGAGATGCTCTTCACAAACTTATGCCTGACATATAGATCCGTATATTCATTTACGTTCTCCCTTGTAACCACTATTGAATTACCAGCTTGACAGAGCTCCTCTGAGAAGACATTATCCCCTCTCTTGACGTCGATTTCGAAAGTCAAACCATCTCCAATTTTAGTCGGATCTTCTAACATGTCATTAAGACTCTTGTACAAGATTGGTTCTGTCTCCTTGATATCCTCCAAACCAATTTCCATTCCAGCTAGCTGTAAAAAGAAGATACGATCAAAGAATACATTCAGCTGGATCTCATGCATCAATGCCACACCCATCACACGACCGGCAAATTCGAACATGGTATTCACCATGAATCCTGCATAGATAAGGGTAGACTTAGGCACGAGATACTCCAAAACCCACAGCTTCTAATAGCACAATGCATACCTGGATTTGGGGAAAATCTTCTAGCATGTTCAGTATATGGAACATAGAATGGAGGAGGAGGTTTAACATCACATCTGAATATCTCTTCGGACAAAAGTAGTAAAAATTCTCGAGTAACACCGTCACCTATGCCTGGCTCAAGGTCAAACTCTACAGAAATCCCATGTTGGAGTGACTCCGGGCTTGCAGCCATTATTTGCAAGGATGATTCCACTAATAGATTGGACCGAGGTATCTTGATATCCTTCCTCATCAGGCCATGACCCAAAATAGGCAACATTAGCATTGCCAAATGTCTCCTAGCTTCAAAGTTAGTTAAGTCCTTTAACTCATTTAACCATTGGTGATCATCACCTCTATTTGCAAATCTCGTAATAAGGGTGCATAATGCAGCCTTCCTAGACTTTAGAACACTCATGAGTTCATCTTTAGCAAATTCCCGGATGCTGCTCGATAGGGCATTAATAGCTTTTAGAGAAAAGAGATACTCGGGGCAAAACGCTGATTCATCCTCATTCAAAGATGATCCGATAGCTATCACGAGTTCCTTAAAGATTGCATCGTAACTCATATCTGCAGCAATGTTAGAGTGAAGAACAAACGCTATCTCCATAAGAAATGATATGGTAGCCCTTTTAACGAACAACCGCATGCCCTCGCAAGGGAAGGTGTCTACCCAATCTAACATGGAAGTGAAGACAGTCCAACAAGACCAATGAAGTTTCTTATCAGGGCGGACTTTCTTAAGCATTCTACACAGTTCATATATCATTGGTATAATCTGCTTGTGTGCAGTACAAGGCAGATCTCTGCACTTTGTTAAGAACTTGCGAATGGAGTGTTTGGCAAATACTTCATCATTTTCAATGGGGGAAGAATATAGCATAACAAGAGCAGAGGGAACTGAAGATGCTGAGAAATTTTGCAGATATTCAACTGCTGCATCTTCACTGTGCCAAGGTATCACGTCAAAGAACATATCGAGCTTTTCACTGATTTCAGAATGGCCAATTTGGCCTCTGTACACATTGACCACTGTCTCAAAGAATGAATCAACGGCGGGCCAGTTTGAGTACTGGGTACCAACCAGATAGACCAGTGCGTTCTGTTCAATGGAGTAATCCCCGAGACATTGGTCGGTCTGTAGCTGTCTACCACCATATACTAATCGGTGCTCCGTCACTGGAATCTCCTTTTTAGTCGTGATTCTATTGACGGTATTATTCACACTATCGTCTATAAATGCTTCGACCCGGAGAATATCTCCATTTGGTATAATCCTAACGAAGAACTCCACTCTGGCGGAATCAGAAGAACCTTCCAGAGGCAACTCCCATGATGATGGCATCTTCTAGTTGAAGAAATTGAAACCCAAAGTCTACCTAGAAGAAACTGAAAACCGAAGGTCCGCTTCTTGCTCTCGTCGGAAGTCGCCCGTTGGTCTACTCAAGAAATGCGAAGCCGTGGAAGAAACCCTATGAGAAATTGAATCATGAAGAAAAAGGGGAACGCTTGAAAAGTTATTGACTGGGTTGACCCGGATCCAGATGAAGATCGGGCGGAGCACCTGAAGTCTGGAGCATTCGATTTCGGATTCCGGTTCGTTTTTATCTCATGTTTGGTTATAGCGGTTATCTAATCCTCGTTTAGTTTTGCAAACAATAATGTACTACGTATTCGATTAATTCATAAGCATAGTTTAAATGCTACATTCTATTACCGGCCCTCTTTTAAAAATCTCGTATATGTTGTCAAGAAATTAATTCGGAACAATATAAATTCGATTTACAAAACCTAAACCGATTAGGAAACCAAACAAAACCGGTTATCGTTCTTCTAAACGACCATCTCCTGTTAATTGTGCACTATAACACCGACAGGAATTTCAAACAAGATAATACTCAATATTTTTGAAAAGAATTGCTTACTAACTAGAGTTTTTGAAAATATCAACCGTATCAAATAACGAAATGTACAAATATTAATAAGAACATTAATAAGAATTGCTTACAAATATTAGTAGTCAACTAGTCATACATATAATAGACAAAAAAGGAAAAATATCACCTTTTCTTTGAACTGACAAAAAGAACACCAACAACAAAAATCACTTAAAAAATAATTTACTGTGATATTTGAAAAAGGAAAAATTATCATATTATATCAGAATATTTTTGTATTAAAGTAAAAAAAAAAAAAAAAAAAAAACACCATTGGGATGTTGATCCACATTTAACTTAACTTTGTTTTAGATATTTTAGTTTCGGATCTAAAATATAAAAGTAACCTGAATGCATTTAAAGTTCAGATTGGTATGTTTTAAAGTTTGATGTATCAGGATAAGCATATATTCTGGTTCTGTTAAACCAAACTCTCAATTATCTTATTTCCGGTTTAGTTACTCTATTCCAGTAAACCAAGTCTAAGTGTGTTTAGATCGAGTATATGTAGGCCTTTGGCCATCTTTGAGAAACTTAATCAATCAAAAACACAAATTATCTTCTTCAATCTCCTTTATTTCTTTCGATCATCATCATCTTCCATTTACACCAAATCTTAGATCTTCGAGGTGATCCTTCACCTTCTGGGCTTTGATTTGCCCTTATCTCGTGCTCTCGGTGAGTGCTGATTCGGGATTTATCATACCGTTACATTTGAATTTAGAACTGAACCAAATATAAATAGTTTTAACATTTAAATTCAGGAATCAACTTTAAATTTAGTTTAGTCTGTTTGAACAGGTAGATTAGATTTACCAAGAAAGTAATGCGATGGGCCTAATGTGGTATTTTGGCAGTAAATCAATTACAGAAATCATTAGTAATTCGATTTTGTAAAAATTGAGAAATGTTACATTGCCCCAAAAAAATGAATTTTTTTTTTTTTTTTTTTGGAATTTTGAATAGAGATGAAGAGCTAAGTAAATAATGAAAGGAAAAATCATTGTCAGCTACACGAACTATACGCCAACACATCACCACACATGCAGACTATTTTAATGTTTCGCTAACTACACGAACTATTGGTATTACATACGGACATCCCCGAACTATCATCGGTTATGTGTGCAACATCATAACCATCATTTCCAAATAATATAAATGTCTTGTTAACTACACGAAATATTTCTTTTTTTGTCAACTACACGAAGTATTTTCATCAATTTTTTTTTTAAACTAATAAGTTAAATAAAACTATATAATATATCAATGTAAATTATATATGTACATTATAACTAGTCTAACTTTAAAATTTTAATGTAATAAAGACTAAACTAGTTCCATAAAAAATATATGTGTTCATTAAAAATTTGTTAATTAACTTAAACCTATAATGAACATGTATAATTTAATTAAGTGACACTTTTAAAAATTTAGTTAAATTAATTTCATATAAAACATATGTGTGCATTAAAAATTAGTTAATTAATTTAACTTAAAATTATAAGGGATACTGCATATGTAGAATTTAAACTTTAAAAGTTATAATGCATATATATAATTAACAATAGTGTATTATTTACTTTTAGTTATTTTTTCATTTTGTAATTTAGTTTTTAAAAAATGATGAAAATATTTCGTGTAGTTAACAATACATTTATATTATCTGGAAATGATGGTTATGGTATATATAATTTACATTGATATATTATATAGTTTTATTTAACTTATAGTGATGTATAATTTAACTAAGTGACTATTTTAAATTTTCAACAATTTAATATAATAAATATTAAATTAGTTAAATTAATTTAACTTAAAAGTAAAATGCATTAAAAGTTATAATATATATATATATATATAATTTATAATAGTGTAATATTTACTTTTTAGTTATTTTTTATTTTTTAATTACTTTTTTTAAAAAAAAAATTTGATGGAAAAATACTTAGTGTAGTTAACAAGACATTTATATTATCTGAAAATGATGGTTATGGTGTTGCACACATAACCGATGATTGTTCGGGGATGTCCGTATGTAATACCAATAGTTCGTGTAGTTAGCGAGACATTAAAATAGTCTGCATGTGTGGTGTTGGCGTATAATTCGTATAGGTCACGATGATTTTTCCATAATAAAACAGCTTCCTTTCTTTCATTCATATCTCTCTCCTCTCTTCTTCGCCATTAGAGGAGAGAAAACACACTCTGAAATATAAGTTAACTCATCCAACAAATCCATTTTTTATCTTCTTCGTAAAGGCAACAACGACGTTTACTGCAAGATACTCTTCTTCATTCTGCATTCTTTCTTTTCCAATCAATTTCATCCCCTAAACTTGGTTTCTGAGCTGAGATTGGCTTTCTGGGTTTTGCTGGTATGCTATAGTTTCTTCACCTCTTCTCTAATTGGGTTGTTCCCCATTTGTTATTACTGATCTTTGCGAGATTTCAGATTGAAATTGCTGTTGAGATCTCAAGGTGCCTTTGCACTAGCTGGAATTTTTCGAGGTTTTTGTCTGTTCGTGAGTAGAAGAATTTGGATGGTCGCCGATGTAAGGGTTTCGTTTCCGCCATGAACACCAAGCGCGCCTACAAGCTCCGTATCCTTTTTGTTGTTTATATACACCAATTTTCTCTGATTTCTTCTTTAGGGTTTGTTTGTGAAAATCATTGATTGACTCCAGTGTCATGCTTGATCTGCTCCTTTTAGCTCGAGATCTGTATGCACTTCTTAGCTTTGTGTTTTGCGCTTTGTGAAGTAATTTATGACTTTTCGGTATCTGTGCGCCTCCAAATTTTAAGACTTTTTAGTCAATTTCTTCTTTGACTAGAGTCTCATCTCAGAGTATTGTTTAGCCTTGACTTGTGTGATTCAAAAAGAGGAATTTGTGGCACATTCTGCTGCTGTTAATTGTCTTAAGATTGGGAGGAAGTCCTCAAGGGTTCTCGTAACAGGCGGGGAAGATCACAAGGTCAATCTGTGGGCTATTGGTAACCCCAACGCCATCCTGGTTAGTTCTCACCTGTCCCTCCATTTATTCTATTGTGGAATGCCTCTGGTAGGATATGAGCTAGTTTTAGGGGAACTGCGACACACTTTTAGGTATATTGTAGTCGAGCGGGATGGATGATTTTCTGTCTGAGTGTCTACTTGTGGGGTTTTATGGTCAGAGTTTGTATGGGCACTCGAGTGGGGTTGATTCAGTAACGTTTGATGCTTCGGAAGGCTTACTAGCAGCAGGGGCTGCTAGTGGTACAATTAAACTTTGGGATCTGGAGGAGGCAAAGGGTAAGTTTAATAGTTCTATGATTATCTAAATACTTTTCTCATTTTCTGTTAGTCAGCTACACCCGGCTCTTATTTTTACCCTTTTGGTGAGTGTTTTGCTTCTGGTTCTCTAGACACCAATCTCAAGATATGGGATATAAGAAAGAAGGGCTGCATCCATACTTACAAGGGTCACACTCGAGGGGTCAATGTACTCAGATTCACTCCAGATGGTCGTTGGACTGTATCTGGAGGAAAAGATTATGTTGTCAAGGTTTGTAGCTGCCTTTTTTTTTTTCCTTTCTCAGTATGTATTGGGGAGGAAAACTGGGGAGTCAACTTAATAGAATTCAATTCATTGAACCTAAGCCCTAATTTTTCCCTTTGCAGGATTTCATCAAAAACCTCCTCTCTTCTGCATCAGAGAAAAGTATGGCTTCGGATTCAACTGCTGCCATTGAGAAAATTAAGCAGATTGTTGTCATCAACCCGAGATTACATCCACGATTGCCTTTAAGGTTTGATGCTGTCGCATTAGCTCTACACAATAGTTAATAGATTTAGCTTATATCCCCTGCGTTTATGTCACAGTAAGTTGGAATATGCTGTGTCGCAAGCAATTGAGACCGTTGTTCCTGAGTTTGTCAAGATGTCCGTAAGGCATGCACTCCAGAAAACCAAAGCTCATGTTTTGATGGTTAGTCTATCTCACTTGATGTTTTGGTTTCTGCTACTATCTAGTCTATTGTGCATCTGGTAACTCACATGGGTTTTCTTTTCCTCCATTTTTTTTAGGCTTATCCCTTAGGAACGGATGACCTTCTGAGAAATAATGCAGCACATATGATGGCCACTTCTTTAGCTCAAAGATATGCCAATGATTTTTGCTATGTATGTCTGGCCTTAATTTAACCATGTACTAAGTTTATGGTAAAAATATCTTGTCTTTGGATTAACCGACCTAAATTATGTCTGTCTCTTTTAAGGAACCTTTACGTGGATGGATGTTTAGCTTTCTCCATGGTTCATTTCAGCAGCCAGGCATTCCATATGAAACTCGGTGCAGAATTGTGGACTCTATCATCAGTGACAACCTTGAATCTATTTGCGGCGGCATCCAAGAAATTGCCAGAACAGAGGTTTGTTTCGGTTTCTAAGTCCTATTTGGATTTTGGGTGTTGCGACATATTATATATGTGATATGGCAGGTAGTGCGTGATATTGAAGCTCATGTTAGGTCATGGATTCATTCAAACATTGCTGAGGAGAAGATCATGGCCATAAAGGATAATTTCAAGGCAAACATTTCTGTGAGTGAGATGAAGGTTCTACTCGATTCGCATTTTGGGTTTGTGGGAGACAAATATGAAGCTTTGTTGGAGGCTATTTTCAGTGGGGTGGAGAAAGGCTTTGCAAAGGTTCTTGAGGAGAAGAAGAGCTATTTACGTTCCGTCATGGAACCGATGTCCGAAGGTTTTCTTCTTCAAGCTATAGAGAATTATTTCAAGAAAAGAAGCTCGGTTTCATTCGAGGAAGAACTGCCAATGGTGTTTGAGTGTCTTGTTAATGATCTTAGTCTTGTGGAGCGTGATGATTTAAACTCGCACATTAAAAACTTGAAGTATGAAACTGAAGCCACTACTTCAATTTGGCAATCTGTGAAGAATCTGCTTGAGAGAAGACGTCAGGGTGTTACTGTTCAAGGTAGATTCACATGGATTGGTTGACCATGGCCAGAATTAGTCTAAACTTGAATCTGAATACATTGAATATTTATTTTGCTTCTGTTTTCTTTCTAAATGTGGTTCCATGTATTCAAAAAGATTTCGTTTTCTTGCATTAAGCAGTCAATCTTTTATTTTGCGTTCCGCCCAAAACACCACACTTTCAATTTCATTTTCGCAGCTTCTGCTTCGTTTTCGTCGGCTAGACCTTTACGGTTGCTTCATTCTCAGTTTTTTGATCCGGGTTTGAGTCCGATTCGTTCTGCTGCACTGCTCTAATCACTGCCTATGCGAAGCTAGGGAGCATCGTGTTGTGCGCGCAGAGTGTTCGACAAAATGTCTAACTGAGATGTACCCGTGTGGAATGCAATGATCACGGGTTACCAAAGACGAGGTGATATGAAGGCGGCGATGGAGTTGTTTGACTCAATGCCTTGTAAGAACGTAACCTCGTGGACCACCGTCATTTCTGGGTTTTCTCAGAACGGGAATTACTCTGAAGCTTTAACGATGTTTTTGTGTATGGAGAAAGACAAATCCGTGAAACCAAACCATATTACTCTAGTTAGTGTTCTCCCCGCTTGTGCGAATCTAGGGGAATTGGAGATTGGCCGAAGATTAGTAGAAGGCTATGCTAGAGAGAACGGGTTCTTTGATAACATTTACGTGCGTAATGCTACAATAGAGATGTACTCAAAGTGTGGAATGGTTGATGTAGCGAAATGAAATTGGGAACCAGAGAAATTTGTGCTCATGGAACTCCATCATCACTGGTTTTCAAACTTTTGATGAGATTTTATGACTAGAAAGAAAAAAAGAAATCGTGGATATTAATTACCATACAAAACCGGGGATAACTAATTATCAAAGTTCCGGTATACACTTATCTAAACCCATATGTTTCCCTACCCGGTCTAAAATATGTACGGGTCGGGCTATGGACTTCCTATTTTATTCGTTGGGCCCAAGGCCCTTACTATCGATAGATACTTATAGTTTTTTTTTTTTTGTGTGTTGGACGGAGCAACTGCATCGTCGCCCCTGTCCGATTTCTTCTCCTCCCATGGCGATTTGGAGTTTCGAGTAAGCTTTCTTTGTGATTTTGGCCTTTAATTTCTTCTATAGATGAAATCTATTTGAGATTTGATCCGGGTTTTTTTCAGTTTGCCTAGTTTAACCGATGGAGATGTTTTTAATATTCCCGGAGAAACACCTAGGATGATAACAGATATGGTAATTTAATTCGTTGGTTTCTTTCTGTGCTTAGTGTATATACTCTCTCTAGTCTCATATATGAATCTGACAGTTGCTTCCGGGCTTTGGAGACGATACCGATATGGAATCTGTGAACAATTTGACCACAAGTGCGGAGGGTGTTTTAGCCGTAGCTTCTACCACTTATTCCTTGAAAGTACTGGTCGACTTCTTGACATCCCCCGAGGTGGATATACCTGTAAGAGCTATGGACTTAGGAACTATCACCCCAGTGGAGATCAGGAAGGCCTTTAAAATCAGTGATGGGAAACGGCAGTTTTCCACTATCTTGGCGTTTGGAGTGGACGTGACACATGAGGCGTCTCGTCTGGCAGCACGATTGCAAGTCAAAGTAATCCGTGGCAGTGTGCTTGAAACCCTGTGCCAACAATTCAAAGAGCATATCAGACGGCTGGGAGAGGAGACTGAAATGGATGATGAAGCAATCTTCCCATGCGTCCTCCGCATCTTACCCAACTGTGTGTTTAACAAGGACGACCCAGTTGTCCTCGGAGTTGTAGTTGTTCATGGTTACATTAAGGTTCCCTACCGTATTATCTATTAACTATTCAAACATGCATCTGTTGAACAGCTCATTTCTTTTTTGGTTTCAGGTCGGATATCCCATTTGCAATCTGCGAAGTGGTTGCCTGGAAATAGGACGTATTGCATGGATTGAAAAGGACCACCGATCCGTCAACGCTGCTAGGTTAGGCGACACGGTGATGATCAAGGTAGGTTTGAGATTATCTCAAAACAATAATACTATAGCTAGCTTTATCTTAGTATTATATAATTGGCTTTCGTTTGCTATTACACAGATTGTCGCATCAAACCCAGAAGAACGAGGACTTAGCTTTGGAAGCCATTTTGACATTAGTGATGATATCCTTGTCAGTCACGTTTCTAGGAAATCTATTAATGTGCTCAAATCTCGTTACAGGGTAGGTCTAGCTAGATCTCCCACCTTGATAACAAAATACCTCTTTTTAATCCTTGTATCCCAATTGCTAACTGAAATTAATTTAATTTCTGCAGGACCGAGTATCCAGGAGGGACGCGGTCGTCTTGTGTTACCTCAAGTGCGTTTTCAGTATCGAATAATCCATGGGGTCAAGTTACCTGCTTTGTGCAAGTCTATCTATCTGATGTTATAAATTACTAGGTTATGAGCTCAGTTTCAACAAAAATATTAAACATCTAATGTTGTTCGTTTATCTCTGTTTCCATGCTTTTGGCCTCTGTTTCAAAGACTTGTTGTTCATATATATCATCAACTTCTTTTCTAACCGAAGAAAGAAGAGAACAAAATATCATACTGGAAACCAAATGTCACAATTAACAGGAGGTTGATGGTAAGGACTCTGTGGAATGGGTATCAAACTGGAAACCAAATGTCACAATTAACCTAGTCACTCGGTACGTTAGTTAGTACTGGTAATTGGTACCGGTATGGCATGCTTGCTTTTCTTTTGGTTTCACTCTTAACAATGAATTTCATAAGAAGTTTGCTGATTGTTTTCGAGTTCCATACAGCTATCCACAGCATGGTGTACCACCAAACATTGCTCCTTGTATCCGTTTATTTCTAAGGATGATGTGCCTATTATAATTTGAGTTTTTGACAATTCTCTATGCACATCTTTCTCTAACAATTGAAGCCACTGGCATGTGTGTCATCTTCCATGCCATTTTTAACATTAGTTGGTTTAAACTAGTTTGAAAGTTCAAAATTCTCAAGGACTAAAACGTGAGTTTCTGTGTTCTTGGAAGTGGTGCCACATCTCTTTACATCATATTTTTGTATAAGATGCACAATATGCTTCTTCTTTTTATTTTCTTGCTTTGCTGTTAATCGTTGGATTGGTGATTGGTGAATATACGAGGACTTCACTTGTATCCGCTAAACAGGATGAATCTTTTCACTATTTCAGCCGTTGCAACTTACTTGCCAAAGCGAAAAGCAGATAAGAAGAAGAGTTTGTTGGGAAATCCCAAAGACTCTGATGAATCCAAAGTTGAAGTTGAGGTATGTCTCTACAGAAACTTCTGATACGGAATTTTTTTATATGTGTTTATGTTAATGTTTAGCCTGTGATGGCACTCATTCTCATGAACTAACCACAAAGCAAACTTCGCAGGAGGTTGATGGTAAGGACTCGGATCTCAAGGATGAGGGCCATGTGGAATGGGTATCCTACTGGAAACCAAATGTCACAAATAACCTAGTCGATGACTTTACTCGGTAAGTTAGTTAGTACTGATAATTGATAGATGAATAATGGATTTATGGCATCCTTGCTTTTCTTTTGGGTTCACTCTTAACATTGAATTTCGTAAGACGTTTGGTAATTGTTTTCGATTTCCGTACAGCTATCCACAGCATGGTGTACCACCAAACATTGATCCTTGTATCCTTTTATTTGATGATCTTCCTATGATTATTTGAGTTTTTGACAACTCTCTATACACATCTTTCTCTAATAATCAAAGGCACTAGCATGTATATCATCTTCCATGCCAATTTTACATTGGTTGGATTAAACTTGTTTGAAAATTCAAAATTCTCAAGGACCAAACGTGAGTTTCTGGGTTCTTGGAAGTAGTGCCACATCTCCTTACTTCGTATATGTGCATAAATGCACAAAGAACCTATAATTCCTTTTTCTTTTTGCTTTTCTGTTAATCTTTGGAATGGGAATCTATGATGATTTCACTTTGCCATGCTAAAGGTGTGATGGTCCATATCTATCTGCTCTTTCCTTTACTTAACTTTACTGGCAGACTTACTGGTGGAACCTAGTATAGTAAACTACTACCCTACAGTTTTTTTCAATGAGTTTTGGCTGCTAAGGGACAAGTTGATTTTAATCAATGAGACGGTCTCAGAGCTGCCACTTAATCTGGAAGTAAGCCCCATAAGCATGACAAAGTGGCAGCTGTTTCAGCAGATTGATCAGTCTTTCCAGATTCACCGTAGCTATGGAAGCATGCTTGATGGTGAATCTGACGAACTAAAGGTAATTCTGGTCCTTTATGGCCAGTTAGCTTCATTGTCATATTATATACTAGGATGTGCATCTAACGACTCTTAACTAGGAATCCCGAACGTAGTATAGAGATGTGATTAATTGTTTTCTGTTAATCGACGCTGCGGTGATCATGTTTCTGATGGTGTATAATTTACTTGCAGAGGGTGTTTTTGGAAGGAAATCCCTATCTGTTGGGCGTCACAATGTTGTTTCGATGCTTCATTCTGTATTTGACTTCCTTGCATTCAAAAATGGTAAAGACCTCAACGAACATCTACTTTCCTAAAATGCCTCTTGAAATTAGCTATTGAATTACCCGTGACATTCCCTGCAGATATCCAGTTTTGGAACAAGAACAAATCTATGGAAGGACTGTCTGCGAAGTCTGTCGTACTGAATTTTATCTGTCAGTTTATCATCTTCCTCTACCTGCTTGACAACGACACTTCGTGGATGATACTGGCTAGCTCTGGAGTTGGTGTCTGCATCGAGTTCTGGAAAATAGGGAAAGCCATGCGGATTGAGGTACCATCTGATATGACACAATCTGATCACTGAGTCAAGTATTTTTGTGCATGTGTAACATCATTCAAAAATCAGTGACATGTTCATCTGGTGTTTTTTGCTTTGCATTTAATCCGTGGCAAACATTTAAACTTCCCAGGTTGATCGAGTGGGATGATTCCAAGATTGAGGTTCCACGACCGTGAATCCTATGCAATCAACAAGACCAAGGAGTATGACGACATCGCCATTAAATTCTTATCCTATGCGCTCCTCCTCCTTGTTGTGGGTTTCTCCATATATTCACTTGCCTATGAACGCCACAAGAGCTGGTACTCATGGATCCTATCTTCACTAACGAGCTGCGTCTACATGTTTGGTAAAAATCCTTCAAAAGTATCTTAGACCAGCTCAAAACTCTCTTGTGGTTGATTCAATTGAGTCGAAATCAATGTGTTTTGTGTTTCCACAGGTTTCATAATGATGTGTCCTCAATTGTTCATCAACTATAAGCTGAAGTCAGTAGCACATTTACCATGGAGGCAAATGACATATAAGTTCCTCAACACAATCATCGACGATCTCTTTGCTTTTGTCATCAAAATGCCAATGCTGCATCGCCTTTCTGTCTTCCGAGATGGTGAATACAAATCCATCTTCCCTGAGTTTATTGATACATGTCTGTAGGATAGTTTTGGAATTCACAAAAATTGATGATGATCTAATTTTGGTGTTGTTGTTGTTGCAGATGTGATATTCTTAATATACTTGTACCAGAGATGGGTTTATCCTGTGGACAAAACACGTGTCAACGAGTTTGGTTTTGGAGGTGAGGATGAGTCTGTGGATACAAAGAAGATCTCTGACCAAGAAGATGACAAGAAAACAAACTAATTAGCTTTGTGCTTTTGTTCTTTCAAACAATTTTTGAGTTGTTTTTGGTTCTGCTTTAGGAAGTTTTGCTAATGCTGCTATTTGTATCCAAATGGAATTTTGGTTTAGGGTAATTTTAAAAAAATGTGTTAAAAGAACATCACTTGGTTATACTTTTGTTTTGTTTATATAACTTACTAGATCTCAGTGTTTTCCTAGACACTCTTTTTCTGGTACCAGATTTAGAGAGTTCTAGGAGATGTAATATATTTTGATGATTTGCTAGATTGACCAAATTTCATACTAATCTCTATACTTTCCATTACTCACCAATGGATCATCGAATTGGCAATATTTTGGAGAAGTCGAATCTCCATGTCCTTGTGATCTCTCCTGACTCCTCTCTTCAACTCTCAAAAGCGTGATAAGCAGAAAACAAAGAGGCCACATCAATTACCAAGTGCACAGTTACGCGGTCATAAAACACTAGTAACAGCCTTCTCTTATGATCTTGTTGTTGATCCCAAAGCTGCTAGGATAATCCACCTCAACATACAAAATAATGGAATAGTCATCGAATACAAGTTTTTCATATCACAGACTTCACAAAATATGAAAAACAGGTTTGAACAACATTTATGATGTTTTTTTTCCCTAACTGATGATCAATCAACCTTCAAATTTGTTTTTAAAACTAGTTGGTAATTAAAAAGAAGAAGAAGATTATTTCTAGTGTTGTAGACCGCATGGTCGGATGGACTCCATAACCGTGGGCAAACATTATCTTCAAAAAAAATAATATTTTAAGGGAAATTGTTAAAAATACCCTTTTTGGTGTGTCCCTTTTAAAAAATGCTCCTTTTAGATGTCAATTTTTAAAAATGCCCCTTTTTAAATCTGAAATTTTTATAAAGTTTTATTAGGTTTATAAGGTACTTATGGATTGTAACTACTACTTGAAGACTCGATCCAAGTATTTATAAGGTTTTATAAGGTGTTTTTAAAGGTTTTACAAGTTATTTTAAAGGATTTTTAAGGTTTTTCAAAGGTTTTACAAGATATTTTAAAGGTTTTTAAAGGTATTTAAAATGCATTTATAAGATATTTATAAAGTATTTATAAGATTTTAGATATATAGAAATGTAGTTTGTGTATGTTTTAATAATATTACATACATATTTGGGTAAATCTTATATTTTTAAGAGCATTTTTTAATAAGGTTTTTAAAAAGGGGTATTTTTGAAAAGTGGCATTGAAAAAGTGGCATTTTTGCAAAAGCGTTGTTATGAAAATAATTTCAATCACATAAATAAGAGATTTTACTCTTTTCAAATCAAAGAATGTTCATCACTTCATATGCTTTAAAGTCATGAATCACATTAGTCATTAAGCTACTAGGCCTACATGAGGGAGGCTTTCTTAGACCATCATTAACAGTGAGTTCTTAACTTTAGCTCTTAACATTGTTTAAGATTAAAATTTTGGTTTTTGTAAGTTAAGAGTCAAATCTTACCTTCTTAACACTCCCAAAAGCTCTTAGCTAAGAGTCAAATCTTAGCATTTTAATATGTATTGATTTATTTTTCAAAGTTTAATTCTAAGATAATAAGCTAAGAACCATCTAAGATACCACCAATAATTAGCCCTGAGACGGATCCGGATATCCGGCATTTTTGGGCATTTTTGAGATATCCGGATCCGGATCCAGTGCGGGCGGATCTCTAATTTTTTTATCCGGATCCGGTTATACCGGATTTCCGACCGTCGGATACCCGCTTGAAAAATTAAAATCCAGCGGATATCCGGATCCGGATCCTTACGTTATTAAAACAATTAAACTGATTGGGCCAACTAATGGGCAACTCAACTGTGTTGTAAGCCCAATTCAGTTAAAAATTCTGTAGGTTTTAGTGGCTATTTATAACACTTGCAGAGGACAAAATGAGTTTACGTAACCGATGTCAAAAAGCAAAGAGAAAATACTAAAGTCCCACATCGAGAAGCTATGAAAAGTAGCATTCCCCCACGCTGTTATATATATGAGTTTGTAAGCCTTCGTTATTTTCTGTCATACTCCCTCTGTTTCATAAAGAGTGTCGTTTTAAGGTTTTATTTTTGTTTCACAAAGAGTGTCGTTTTAGGTTTTCAATGCAAAATTTAATGTTTTTTTATGTTTTATGACTATTAGTATTCTGCAGATTGTATTACTATTGGGCAGATTATGTTTAGGTATATAGTTAATGATGTTTTTGTTTAGAAAAAATAAAAAATTTAATGTTTTCTTAATCTGTGTGCAAAACTCTAAAATGACACTCTTTGTGAAACAGAGGGAGTATTTGTTTTCAGATATTAAATTATAGAATGAAAATAAATATATTTAAATGATATTTCTATGTAACGGATATTTATCCGGATCCGGATATCCGGATCACAAAGATATTGATATCCGGATCCAGATCCGTTTTAAGCGGATCCATGATTTTATTATCCGGATCCGCTTGGTCCGGATATCCTATTTTCCGGAGCGGATCCCGAATCGGATCCTGGATCCCGGATAATAGTCCCAGCCCTAATAATGGTGCTCTTCGACGGCTACGAACTTCAAACGGAAATCGATATGGGACCATGTGTTTGAAGGAAATCCTCAAATTACTATATTGCATTCTACAAAACACCTATATTAACGAAAATGCCACTCACTTACCCCTTTGCATTATTTTTTGACAAACAAAGAAAAAGATAATTGCATTAAATCACTTAATCTTTTTCACACTCCTAATTCGAGTATTGGTGGCCTATGTCTATGTGACAATAAATTCTGGTAATCTTCAAGAAGAATGTCCCCTCTTTCCTTTTTTTTTTTTGTAGTATAACAGTATTTTCCTGACTCTGCCTTTAATAATCTTAGATAGTGGTTTTGTTATTTATTTTCATTTTTGGTTCAATAAATCTAAAACTGAAATTCATAATTATCTTAGACATTGAAAACAGTTTTTTTTTTTTTTGACATTCATATTCCTAAATATTGATCATCAATCTTCCAGTTTTTAACTAAAATAAGAAAACGTTTTTTAATTTATCCTTCCAAACAATAAAATTACTTATCTTTTGGAGTATAATTTTAGTTAATATGTCAATTTGGCAATTCACCTGTCTCATTTACATAACTAATTATTGCCCCATTTGTGGTAAATTACTAAATTTTTGATTTTAACACAATGGGCAGTTCCGTAATATCCCACCATACGAGAAATTTGTCCGCCAAAAAGATCAATTATATGTTTTGTAAAAAAGTCAAATATCTCTCTCTCTCTCTACTCTACTCTACTCGTGACTGAGCAAGAGAAAACAGAGAGCATAAGAAACCAATTCAGCCGATTTGTTTTTTCTATTTTCTAATCATTTACTCCTACAAAAGAAGACATGTTCATACCTTTATAGTGTTATCTAAACTCTTTTGGGGTCTTGCATAAGAAACCAGTTTTCAAGGTTCATGCCTGGCCGAATCCGATGTAGTAGTAGTCATCACCACAGATGTTCTCAAGAACTGTCTTCATCTCTTCAAATGTTTCGTATGCAGGCAAATGGAGAATGTAAAAACATGTGTTAGATGAAGGATATTCGGAGTCAGCAGCTTTCAAAATCTTAAATTTCTTTGGTAATCCTCTAAATCCTCCATGTGGTAAAAATTCTATGGATGCCCAAAATCTTAGTAAATTCCGCTGGCTTGGTTCTGTCATTCCCTCCACTATATTCCAGAACCAACCAATTTCTCTATCCGTAGCTTCGAATCCCGAGTCATAGGTGGTATGAGCCTTCCACTCTTCCATTATGATTCCGGTTACATCCCCACCAAACATAAGATCAAAATCCTCTGGCAACAAGCTTCGGAAGAATGATGTATGAGGTGTAGAACCAAGAAGCATATCACTGAATCCTTTTGCAAAAAAAGATACTTGTTCGGAGATGCTCTTCACAAACTTATGCCTGACATATAGATCCGTATATTCATTTACGTTCTCCCTTGTAACCACTATTGAATTACCAGCTTGACAGAGCTCCTCTGAGAAGACATTATCCCCTCTCTTGACGTCGATTTCGAAAGTCAAACCATCTCCAATTTTAGTCGGATCTTCTAACATGTCATTAAGACTCTTGTACAAGATTGGTTCTGTCTCCTTGATATCCTCCAAACCAATTTCCATTCCAGCTAGCTGTAAAAAGAAGATACGATCAAAGAATACATTCAGCTGGATCTCATGCATCAATGCCACACCCATCACACGACCGGCAAATTCGAACATGGTATTCACCATGAATCCTGCATAGATAAGGGTAGACTTAGGCACGAGATACTCCAAAACCCACAGCTTCTAATAGCACAATGCATACCTGGATTTGGGGAAAATCTTCTAGCATGTTCAGTATATGGAACATAGAATGGAGGAGGAGGTTTAACATCACATCTGAATATCTCTTCGGACAAAAGTAGTAAAAATTCTCGAGTAACACCGTCACCTATGCCTGGCTCAAGGTCAAACTCTACAGAAATCCCATGTTGGAGTGACTCCGGGCTTGCAGCCATTATTTGCAAGGATGATTCCACTAATAGATTGGACCGAGGTATCTTGATATCCTTCCTCATCAGGCCATGACCCAAAATAGGCAACATTAGCATTGCCAAATGTCTCCTAGCTTCAAAGTTAGTTAAGTCCTTTAACTCATTTAACCATTGGTGATCATCACCTCTATTTGCAAATCTCGTAATAAGGGTGCATAATGCAGCCTTCCTAGACTTTAGAACACTCATGAGTTCATCTTTAGCAAATTCCCGGATGCTGCTCGATAGGGCATTAATAGCTTTTAGAGAAAAGAGATACTCGGGGCAAAACGCTGATTCATCCTCATTCAAAGATGATCCGATAGCTATCACGAGTTCCTTAAAGATTGCATCGTAACTCATATCTGCAGCAATGTTAGAGTGAAGAACAAACGCTATCTCCATAAGAAATGATATGGTAGCCCTTTTAACGAACAACCGCATGCCCTCGCAAGGGAAGGTGTCTACCCAATCTAACATGGAAGTGAAGACAGTCCAACAAGACCAATGAAGTTTCTTATCAGGGCGGACTTTCTTAAGCATTCTACACAGTTCATATATCA